ACTCGTTGTAGATGAAGCCGGTGTAGATGGAGAAGGCACCCATGAGCAAGATGAGGTAGCGCCCCTCAAAGAATGTCAGCCAGATCTAGGGGGGCAAACACGGCTCCCATGTCCCACACCACCTCCCCTGCCCCACACCACTCCCTTCCCATAGCACCACCCTGACCCGTACTGACCCTGTCCCGAGCCACCTGCCCCATCCTGTATCATCCAGCCCCATCCCACATCCCCAACCATGTCCCACACCTCCAACCCCGCTCCATGTCCCCACGCCTTCCCATGTCTGTAACTGTGTCCGTCCCACCCCTCCGTCGTGCCCCCACCTCGTTGGTGCCCTGCCGCAGGCGGGGGCTGTCCTCGTACAGCACCATCCAGAGCGCAAAGAGGAACATGAGCAGCCCGTGCCCCACGTCCCCAAACATGATGGCGAAGATGAAGGGGAAGGTGATGATGGCGTAGGGTGCTGTGGGACACAGGGACCGCATTACACAAGGTGTCCCCTCTCAGCCCTGGGCTCGAGGGGTGCCAGGGGGCCGTACCGGGGTTCACCTCCTGGTAACTGGCCACCCCGTAGGCGTCCACGATGCTCTGGAAGCCGGCGGTGAACTTGTTGGTGCGGATGAGGGTGGGGGGGCTCTCTGAGGTGGGGACGCGCTGCACGAAGCACTCCACGCTGGAGCCGCTCTGGTACTGCGGGAACAGCACCCAGAACCTGATCCTGGCACCCCCGGCACACCCTTGCCTGGCACGTGGAGCCTGGCCTTGGCACCCACCCCACAACACCCCCTTTCCTGGCACCAGCCCCCAGCACCTGGAGCCTGTTCTTGGCACCCACCCCACAATCCCCCCCAGCCTGGCACATGCTCCACCATGATGAGGGGACATAGGAACACCAAGCAACCTCTGGCACAAAGACATGGAGACACTGAGCAACCCCACAAAAAGGACATGGAGACACAGAACAGCCCCTGGCAGGAGGACATGGGGACACCAACAAACCCTTGACATGAAAACATGGGACACCAAGAAACCCAGGCACAAGGACACGGGAACACAGAGCCACTGCTGACACAAGGACAACTGAGCAACCCCAGAACAAGAACATGTATACACTGAACAGTCCCTGGTGCAAGGACATGGGGACACAGAGCCACTCACAGATCCCTGGCGCAGGGCATCCTGCACTTGGGTGAGGTCCCGCACGGGGCACCAGACCTCGGCAATGAGGCACTTCTTGGTGACATCGAAGCTGCACTGGTTGAGGACGAGGTAGATGGCCTTCATCTTCTGCACCTGCACGCGCCAGGTGGGCAGCACCTGTGCCACCTTGTCCAGCACCTCCGCCAGGTACTTCTCAGTCTCCTCCAGCGTCTGCGGGCACCTGTGTCAGGGATGGCAATCCAAGCGTGGCCCCCACATCCCCTCATGGCACCCAGCTCACCACGCTGAGCTCCTGGATCTGCCCATGCAGCCTGGTAATGGCCTCCGTCCTGCTGGCCTCACTCTCCGGGTACGCATACACCTGGCAGTGGAAGCTGGGACAGAGGGACATAGCCATGTCAGGGGTGTCAGGGCTGCCCAGCCCGGCCCCACGGCAGGGTCCAGAGTGGATGTTACTAAATAAACCCCCCTGCGGGGGATACATGGCCACTCACCAGTCTAAGATCTTGCGGATCTTCTGCCCAATCTGCTCGCCCCAGTAGGAGATGAGGAAGATGACCCAGGTGATGCTCTCGCCCTGGGGACAGCACAGTCGGTGTCACTCTGGTGTCCCAGCCCCCACAGCCGTGCCAGCCCGCCCCGGGTGCTGCCTCACCGTGGCTGGGTCCTCCATTGGCTCGGGCATCTCCACGAAGGAGGCCACCAGGTACCCGCGGCAGGCGCGCCACAGCAGCCGCTCGAAGGCCGTCACTCGCCACGGGTGGATGACACCGGCCACAAAGCTGCAGAGACACAGCAGGAGTGCTGGGATAGGCAAACCGCCCCATGGCTGCACCGCTGCCCCAAAGGTCATCTCCAAGCCTTATCCCGCACTTTCCCAGCTGCCCCACGGCCACACCTTTGCCCCAGAGCCCCTCTCCACCCCCCGCCCCACACCCTTCCCCCTCTCACCTGATCTTGCGCTCGAGGTGCTGATGCACGGAGGGGTCGAGGATGGGCTCACGCTCCGACAGCGCCGGTGGCCGCGGCGGGGAGCCCAGGGGGGCCTGCGGCGAGGTGGAGCAGAGGGATGAGCCTGGGGGAAACTGAGGCACGCGGCAGCACTCCCAGGGGGGCGGGGACCCCCGGACCCACCGGCAGGCTGGTGAAGCGCTGTCCCTCGCGCAGGACGTGCAGGTACTGTCGCAGGTCCCGCAGGCGGCCGCACAGGGACGCGCGGTTCCGGCTGACCTCCCGCAGCTCCTGCGCCAGCTGCTCCGACTGCTCCTGCACCCGCAGCGCTTCCCGCGCCGCCGGCGCCCGCGGGCTCTCGGGACACGGCCCCGGCACCCGCCCCGCGGCGCGCAGCTCCTGCTGCAGGAAGGCTGGAGAACGGGGGGACACGGTCAGACTGAGGGGCCGAACCGGGCGTTCCCCTGAGAAGCCCCCCCGAAGTCAGCCCGGGGCACTCACTGAAGGTTTTCTCCATCTCCTCGCAGCGCCGCACCTCGCCCACGAAGCGCCGCTGGAAGGGGCTCACTTTGGGGTTCAGCTGCGGGGATACAGTCAAGGCATGGCCCCACACTGGATTGGGGGGTTCAGCACCCCGGGGGAACAGGTAGCCCAGGCACCAAACCCAGCCTGACCAACTTCCCTGTTTCCACGGCACCCTAGAACACCCACCCCAAACCCGAGCAGACCAAACCCCCTGTACACAGAGCACCTCAAACCCAGCGCACCCAGGCTCACCCAGCCGAACCCCCTGCACCCCAGACACCCCAAAACGCCCCCCAGCCCCTACTCACGTCTCTGAACTCCAGCAACCCGCGCTCCCCCAGCTCGCTGATGCAGCTGTAGGCAGAAGCCGACTGCAGGAAGAGCTGGGCCAAGCAAACCTCCTCGCTGCGGAACAGGGACCCCATGGCCTCCCCCGAGACGCCCGGTCCGGCCCGGGGTGCGGAGGCGTCAGGGCACACACCTGGGGACGGGACAGAACGGAACAGGAGGGAATGGGGTGGGATGAGAATGGGACACTGAGAGCTTCCTCAGGCGTGAGGGCGGGAAAGGGGGACAACAGGGCAGAGGTGGCCTCGCTGTCTCGGCGGCTGCGGCGACGGAACGGGGCTGTGACCGTGGGAAGCCGGCCCGCTCAGGCACACGCGGCTGCGCCCAGCACCCGGCTGGCAAAGTACTTTCGAAACCCTCCCTTCCCCTGCCCCATTCAGCTGCCTCTGAGTCAGGGCCAGCGCATTCCCCGCCCCGGGACCGCCCCGGGCCGGACCCTCTCCGGACCCACCCGGCCGTGCCCCCCCCGCGCCGAGCTCGGCCGGGATCCAGCACTTCCTCTTCCCCAGGAAGAGCCCGGCCCCGGGGAGGGACCGGCCGGCCCGGCCCCGCTGCCCCCCGGGAAACCCGTTCCCCGGGACATACCGCACCCCGCACCGCCTGGCCTGGGGAGCGGCCCCTCGGAGACAGGACCCTCGCAGCATCCCCCGAGGAGGACGGAAATGGGAAACATTTCCCAGAGCCGGGCGGAGCCGGAAAAGCGCCCGCGAGAATCAGCAGGACCCCCGCACCGGTGTGAGACCGGACTGTTAGTGAGTAATTACTCTAAACAATCCCCATTTGTGCAGGAGCCAGCGTGCTTTGCTGGGGCCAGATTGACATCCCTGGAGAGAAGAGGTTTGGGGTGTTACTGCCCAATCTGCATAACACAAAGGGGGTGAACTATCACTGCCTGCATCCTGCAAGGCGCAATCGGCCTTCTCCTCACGCTCTGGCCCTCCCTTGCACAACTGGCTCAGTTCTAATGCTTCCCCTCTGGAAGAAAGAAGGCTGAACTGCGCCGCCGTGAGAGGCAGCTGAAAAGGGATCACTGAGCATCAAAGATCCCCGAAGCGCTCGCAGACTAATTTCTGAGGTCTTTCACCAGAGGACTGAAACCTGGACATTCCCCCCGAGCCTGATCGCATTTTAACCCATCAGACTTTGTGTTTTGTGGGCTTCTTCCCCCACTGCTGACAGATCTAGACCATCACTTTGACCAAGGGACAACTATTGCAACAATCAAGTCACAAGATCTGCCAGGGGTGATTTGTTTTTACCCTTACCTTTCAGTTCTTTTTTTCTATTTTCCCTTAGACGTTTCTTTGAAGTAATAATTTTTTATGCTTTCATGTAGCTGTATTACTGTTGATAATAATGACCAAAACACCTACATACCTGCTTTCCATTGCCACCCAACTGTTCTAAAATAAACCCTACACATACATACTTACCAATCATTAAGAGTCCTTTCACTCTAATCTGCCCCTGTGTTACTCTCACCTTTGAGGGACAAGTTCTAACAACTGGTAGCACTGGGATCGCCCTGCTGGGATCACCGAGACCCCCACACTGGTACCACTGTGAGACCACAGATTTGCCAGGCACCCCATGCTGGTACCCACACACCAGCATCACTGGGACACCCATCCAGTACCACCAGAGGCTCCCCCACTGGTGCCATCAGGACCCTCTCCTGGGATCACCCAGATCACAGGCATCACTGGGACCCTCATACCAGTACTACTGTGAACCCCCCTTGCCAGGATCACCAGGCCCCCCACCCTGGCTGCCCTCAGAAGCTGGAAATGACCCTCCCAGATTCCTAAATCCCCCCAGCACTGCTCCTCCATCCTTGCCTGCTTCCCCTCCACCTCCCACACCTTTCCCTGCAAACCACCCCCTACCCCAGCATTGGTGCCAGCACCCTCAGGACCCGCATCCTCCTCCCCAAAACACAACCCCACACCCAGGGTTGGGGTCCCCCCAGGAGTCAGGGGCTCTGACCCCAGCGCTAGAAAGGAAAAGACACAGAGTTATGGGAAGGGGCTGACACCCACAGTGCCAGCAGAGGGGGAGAACCCCCAAACGCTTTATTTGGGGGGCGGGTGGGGCTGTCATCGGTACAGGTAATCAGCCTGGATGTTGGCTGCAATCTCAGCCTCCCACTTGTCGCCGTTGTTGAGCAGCTTCTCCTTGTTGTAGAGCAGCTCCTCGTGCGTCTCCGTCGAGAACTCAAAGTTGGGGCCCTGCCAGGGCAGGAAGGGGTCACCCTTGGGGTCACTGTGGCAGGAAAGGGGAGTCCCTGCAGTCCCCCCTGCAGGCCCCACTCACCTCCACGATGGCATCCACAGGACAGGCCTCCTGGCAGAACCCACAGTAGATGCACTTGGTCATGTCGATGTCGTAGCGCGTGGTGCGGCGGCTGCCATCGGCGCGGGGCTCAGCCTCGATGGTGATGGCCTGGCACGGGGACACCGTCATGGCCAGAGCCCCGGGTGAGGAGGAGGAGGAGGAGGAGGAGGAGGAAGTAGTCTCACCTGTGCCGGGCACACGGCCTCGCAGAGCTTGCAGGCGATGCAGCGCTCCTCCCCAGACGGGTACCGGCGCAGCGCGTGCTCCCCACGGAACCGCGGGCTCAGCGGGCCCTTCTCAAACGGGTAATTGATGGTGGCCGGCTCACGGAAAAGGTAGCTCAGGGTCATGGCCAGGCCTGCGGGGGAGAAAGAGGGGTTATGGCATATTTGGGAAGCGGGGGATCACCCCACAAATGAGGAGGATGAGCAGGGTCTCACCTCGGACGAGCTCGGTCCAGAGCAGGGTCTGGGCAGCGCGGTCAGTGATGGATCGCATGTCCATGGCCGGCTCCCGGATGTTGACATACTCTGCGGGAAGAGGGGAGCTGTGCCCACCCTGCAGAGCCCTGGGGTGGGAGCTGAGCCCCCAGGGGGGTGGCATGGCTGTACTCACTGTAACAGTCCCTGGGGGTGCTGGTGCTGAGCAGGCGCAGGGAGCCCAGTGGGGCCAGGGGGCCTGGGGAGGGACAGGAGGGTCAGCAGGGTCACAATGGGGTTTGGGGGGTTCAGGAGGTTGGGGATTCCTGGGCGGCCTCACCTGCACGGGCAGCCTGGTACAGCAGTCGCAGTGCTGCCATGGCCGGTCCTGGGGGGCAGAGGGAACCTCAGCAACTCCCAGTAAGGGACTGGGGCTGCCAGGGGCCCTCATGGGGGACACTGGCACCCTGATCCCCACTCCTCCACCCAAAGAAACCCAGACCCCCAGGCACTCCTGTCCCAACACTCCACAAGGGACTCCAAGTGCTTTTCCCTAAGGACCTAAGCATCTTGTTTCTTTTGCCAACCCCTCTCAAGGCACCCAGGCATCCTGTCCCTCCTTGCAGCCCCCTCTTAAGAGACCCAAGTGTATCCCCCAATATCTTGTCTACCCCCTAAAAGGGACCCAGCTGTTCCCCCAGGGGACCCGGGCATCCACACCCCACCCTCCAGGGACACTCAGATGTCCCTTCCCCATCCCACCCCTAAGGATCCAGGGGCCCTGATGTCCTGTCCCTCCCAAGGGCCCCACGTGTCCCCCCATCCCCGTCCCCATGCCCCTCCCCGCCGCCCCGCACCCACCTGAGCCCCCACGCGGGACCGATCCTTCCTGTCACCCCCCAAGTTCCCGCTCAGCCTGTGTGTGTCCCTTCGGAGAGGATGGCGGCGGAGGGCAGCGCAGTGTCCGGGCCGCCCCCTCTGCCCCAGGCGGATTTGGGCGGCCACTACACGCCACCGGGGGTGACCGCAGCCCCGGGCCGCCCCCCGGGCCCCCCAGGCTGCCCCCCTGGGCCCCCCCTCCCACCTCACCTGCCCTAAGGGCCCTCCGCCGTCCTGACCCCTGGTCGCCCCCGCGGGCACTGCGCATGCGCGTGCGGCTGCGCGTCATGGGCGGGGCGAACGATGGCGGACGCGCTTCTCATTGGTGGGAGTCCCGCAAAGGGCGAGGGGGGCGGGAAGAAAGAGGGAGAAGCGTCGCTGATTGGGCGGAGTGCGGCCGTGCTGCGCGGCGATTGGTGGGGCGGGAGGGGGCGTGTCCGAAGGGCGGGCGGAAGCGGAAGCGCGGGTTCATGGCGGAGGCGCGCGGTTGCGGTGCTGGCGTGGAGCCTCCCGCTCCTCCAGGGCTTCCCGAGCCTCCGGAGCTTTCCGTCCGGTTTCTGGAGCAGCTCGGGCCACGGTTGCCGGACGGTCTCGCAGCTGGAGCGGCCCAGATACTTGGATTCACTACAAAGCCCGGCTCCGCCTCTGGCGGGCTCAGCGCTGGCCCCGATCCCTCAGCCCCGGCAGAGTCCCTGGAGGCGGGCATCAGGGATGTTTCCCCTTCCCTATTAAACTGTCTTTATCTCAGCTGCCTCGTCCAGTTCTCTCCATCCGCCCACCCGGGGAAATCCCCGTGGCATTCAGCCAGGACAACCCCCAGCCTAACAGAAATTGTTATCCCTTTACCGGCACAACCAGCCCCGCAAATGGAGCAGCATGGAGCGAAGGAAACTGGGATCATGGGGCAGGATAAACGGGAACGTGGGTCAAAGGAAACTTGGGATCATGGAGCAGGAGAAACTGGGAACACAGGGCAAAGGACACTGATATCATGGGGCAAAGGAGACTGGGATCATAGAGCAGGAGAAACCAAGATCATCCCAGCTCAAGGATTTAGGATTAGTGAGTTGTTGTGGACCTTCTCAAGGCAGAGTACAGAATGAGGGGCACAGGAGACCCTTCTGTTTGGTGGTACCAGTGGAAATAGAGCCCCAAACAGCCAGAAAAGAGGGATATGGGACTGGAATGGAGGAAGATGTGGGGGACAAAGGACTCTTGGGGTGAGCAGGGGTGCAGGGAAGTGAAAGAGAAGCACACAGGATGTTGAGAAACATCTTTCATTGCACCTGAGCACCAGGACCAGCAGCAAGAGATGTCCTGAGTGGGCAGACCCTGAGTGGGATGTGGAGACCCTCAGAGCAGGGTACAGTCACTCTTACGTGTCACCTTTAAAGTGGCCTGGATGAGCCCAAATTTCCTCTGGCTGTAGGGGGGATAGCGCGGGGCGTTGAGGGACTCCCGGCCCATCCCGCGCTTCAGACACCCACGGGGGTGGGAGAAGGTGTCAAAGCTGAACTTCCCGTGGTGCGTTCCCAGGCCGCTGTTCCCTGCAATACACAGCACAGGACCCCGGTGGGGAGCTGGATCTGGCCATCCTTTGGGTCAAAGAACCCAAAATTAGGCTCCCAGCTCTGTGAAAGCAGCACTACGCCTTCATCCAGCTGCTTTCCAAGCCATGGATGAGCTTCTCAAGAATCTGACTCAAAGAGGACCACAAAGTGACCTAGTGCACACCCAAGTTGATGTTTGGAGTGGAAAGATTAGGCTGGAAGGTGGAGAAATACTCCAAAACTCTGTCATCAGTGGATTTTACCATTTCAATTAACATGTTTAGCAACTGGATGGTGTCACTGATGAGGTGATGGCAGCAGCAAGATGCTCCCACCAGATGAACTTCCCTACCACAGGAATACCCTACAAAAGACATCCCATCCATGCTGGATCCAGCCCTGCTGCAGGGGGGCAAGACTGCAGGGGTGGAGAGGCACAATGACCGAGGTGCCTTTGGCAAGGTGGGACCTAGCACCAGGGATCAATGTTGGGACGTGAAAGCTGGCTGGCCAGGAACAAGCACAGGAAAGCCAGGCAGGCTGGCAAAAAACAACAAAATCCACAGATGATTTGGTAACAGATGATTTGGTAACATGGTAAAATGCCATGAGTCAGCCTGAGCCAGTCAGTCTTCCTGATAAAATGCTAATCATGGTTGGGGTGATGCGTTGGGTGCAGTTCCTCACACATCAGCAGCCCCAGGATAAAGGGAAGTCACTGATGCCTCCTGGCCAGCTGAGTGGGAAGAGAGGAAAAAAGGTGGAAAACAGGAGTGGAAAACAGGAGCTGGTAGTGGAGATCATCCCATAAAAAGCAGGTGTCTCCATCATGGAATCCCAGGATAGTTTGGGTTGGAAAGGGCCTTAAAGATTATTCAGTTCCATCCCCCCACCATGGGCAGGAACACCTCCCACTAGACCAGGTTGCTTCAAGCTCTGATTCCCTGTGTGGTAAGCCAGACATTTCCATGGATCCAGGGAGCACAGAGCTTGGGATGGGGAATATGGAGAGAAGGAACCTCAGGGTGCTCCATGGTTGTCCAAGAGCCCAAGATGAAGCAAAGGGCTTCTGGAGGAGAATTTCCCTATGGACTACTGAGCCCTCTGGAGCTGAGAGTTCCCCCTGAGACCCTTCCTGACCATCGGTGGGATCACACCTGGCTCCCAATGGCCAGGATTGGGGATTTTGGACCTACCAATGCCTCCAAAGGGCAGTGAGGGCAGTGTCACATGCATCAGGGTGTCGTTGCCACAGAAGCCTCCACTGCTTGTCCTCTCCAGGACCCGGTTCACCACCTGGGAGTGACATGAAGAAGATGAGACATGGATCTCCTATCCCATTCCACTAGTTCCAAACACAGTCCATACCCCCTGACTAGGGCTGTGTGCTGTAAGGGAAGCACTTGGAGCACAAACACGGCTGGATACAGCTGCCAAGGAGCACAGGGCAGGTGTAGTCCTGCCTTGGCTCTACCTTGTCATCTGAGGAGAAGGCGTAGGCAGCCAAGGGCCGCTCCCGGCTGTTGATGAAGTCAATGGCTTCATCAACGTTGGCGATGATGACGATGGGCAGGATGGGCCCAAAGATCTCCTCCTGCATGACAGGATCTGAAGGCTGCACATCCACCAGCACGGTGGGAGCTGCGGAGAGGAAACCTGACAGCATCAGCCGGGCACAGAGGTCGGAGGTGGCACCTTGGTGATCCCCCAGGACACATCTCCTGTACCAAAGGCCACCTGGCCAAGTACCCAGTTCCCCTCATACTCTTCTCCAAACCTGGAATGTGCTCCATGCAAGGATGCAGATGTGAGTGAACCCCAAGTCTCACCGATGTAGCGCTCAGCCTCGTCCGTCTGTCCCCCGATGGCCACGCGCCCGCTGCCCAGCAGCGCCCGCAGGCGCTGGAACTGCTTGTCACTCACAATGCGGCCAAAATCCGGGGATTCTTGGGGGTTGGGGCCATAGAAATCATTGATGGCCTTTTGCAGGGCTGGGAGCAGCTTCTCCTGCATCTCCAAGGTGCAGAGCAGGTAGTCGGGCGCGATGCAGGTCTGCCCCGCGTTGAAGAAGCGGCCCCAGGCCACGCGTCGTGCCACGTTGGTCACATCACAGGTGTCAGACACATAGCAGGGGTTCTTGCCCCCCAGCTCCAGTGTCACCGGTGTCAGGTGCTTGGCAGCGGCTGTCATCACAATCCGCCCCACTGGGGGGCTGCCTGTGGGTAGGGAAAACATGGATTGAGGTGGGAATCCCACCAGCCATCGCATGGCTCTGGGATGTGGCACTGGGTCCCACCAGACCTCAGATACACATCCCAGATCCTCCAACAGATCCTGGTACACATCTCCAACCCAATCCCTGCCTTCTTCTCCAGGGATGTCTGGAGGGAACCGTCTTCCTCCTCACACAAAATCCAGGCAGGGCTCTGCTCTGTCCCATGGGACGTACCAGTGAAGAAGATGTAGTCAAACTTGTTCTCCAGCAGCCTGGTGGTCTCCTGCACACCACCAGTCACCACAGCAAAGCAGTCCTGCAAGGAAATGAGAAAGGCCCCCTCTTGTCACCATCTGTCCCCACCAATAGCACCCTGGGAGGCTGGGACACTGGCTGGGCATGGAGGAAGGAAGTTGGGCAGTACATGGAACCGGAGATGCTGTGTGAGGCAGGCTCAGAACACAGCTCTGTGTGTGCAGGGGTGCCTCAGCCATGCCACAGGGATGGGGAGAGTGTCCCACCTTGTCCAGGTAGCTGGGCAGCGCTTCTGCCATGAGTCTTTCTGTCTTCTTGGACACCTCAGAGGGTTTGACAATGACACAGTTCCCTGGGGAAGACCGACAGGATGTTGGAGCTGTGACATGGTGACAGCCAGTCCCTCTATGGACGAAGTGCCCTCACCAGTGCTTGGCACTACTGGGATCCTCCAGGCCAGGGCACTGGAAGTTTGGGCTCACCGGCAGCGATGGCCCCAATGAGGGGCACCAGGAAGAGTTGAATGGGGTAATTCCAGGGCGCTATGATGAGCACCACCCCGTAGGGGTCCTTGCGGATGAAGGCAGAGTCCAGCTGCATTGCCTGTGGGACACCCGCCACATCAGGTCCCACCCTGCACCACCATCCCACCCAGCTCTGCCTCCCATCCTCTCTCTCCCCTCTCACCAGAATCCTGTCCACCTTCTCGTCCTTCATCCAGCAGGACAGGTTGTTCAGGGTCTCATGGAGCTCGTTCTTGCACACGAGGATCTCAGATAATTCGGTTTCAAAGGGTGCCTGCAGACACCAAGGATGCAACATGTGACCTTGGCATATCCTGCAGCTCTTATCCCAGTGCTCCATAGTGTTTTACCCAGGACTGGGGACTGGAGCCCTCTACATCCCATGCTGGATTCAAATCCCTAAGGGCATTGAGCACCCCCTATGTCTGCAACATGATGCTTTTAAGCACTGATTGCTTAAAAATAGGAAAAATTATGCAGATCCCATTCATCCAGACAACAGGAAGAATAGGGAGGGTGTCCAAAGGGACTAGGTTGGGGAAGAGAAGACAATGAGCCCTGTGTGGTATTAAGGCTCTGGCTGCAGAGCCAGGGGATCTGGGCTCAGGAGTCACAACCTGGGTGAGCCCCATGGGAGGAAAGGGGGTGACATCAGGTGGGAAGTTCAGGGCAGGGAGCAGGGACAGAAATCTGGGATTAATTTGCCCAGGGAAGAGGGAAACTGAGGCTGGTGGGTGTGGGAATGGTTATCCCTGTCAAGGTGCTGCTCACCACACCCTCTGTCTATGGCAGAGCATGGATGGACTTTGGAGTACGGGTGACAGTGACATGCTACATCTCAGTCTCCCAAATCCAGAGGCTGTGAGTCCAAGGCAGAGCTCAGGCAGGGCTGGAGAACCCAATGAGAGGAGCACAAAGCACCCCCAGCTGGGCTGTAGGAGCCTCTCAGCTCCTCCAGCCACCAAGTCCTCCTGTTCCTGTCCCCTCTCACCTTGCCCAAGTCAGAGGCAGTGGCATCCATGATCTGCTGCTTCTTGTCATCCAGGAAGCGTCCCAGAGCCTCCAGCTGGGCCACACGGTATTCCATGGGCCGAGTCTTCCCAGAGAGCCAGGATGCCCGCAGGTGGCTCACCAGCCCTGCAAAGGGGTTCCTGCTGTGGGGACAGGGGTGTTAGAGGGATGCCAGCCCCATTCCAGCTCCTCAGAGCTCCACATCATCCCAGCCCAGCATCCAGGTGCCACTCCAGGGGGAGGATGGAGCACTGGGACCCCTCCTGCCACCCGTCTGTCCCTCCACACTCTCACCTCAGGGTGTCACCATCCACATTCCCGTTCCCAGCATTGCCCTCGGGGGCTCTCTTGGCCTCGATCCCAGGAAGCTGCGGGAAGACAGTTCCAGTCTCCATGCTCCCAGTGCAGCACGGGATGGTTGCACTGGGGTTATCAACCACAGCTTCTCTCTTCTCAGCTAACACGGGCGGCTGCCAGCTTCCTGCCCTGCCCTCTGGCTACCTTCCCCTTGCCTGCCCTCTGGCTGTCCTTCCCCTTGCCTGCCTGCCCTGCCACACCTCCCTTCCAGCTATAACTGCTTGGGGAGGGAAACGCCCCCCAACCCTCCCAGCACACCCCAGATCAGAGGAGGGAGGCACAAAGAGAGGCTGGGAGAGAGTTTGATGCAAAGTCTTTACTACAGGCAGAGTTACACGGAGCAAAGAGCAACAGCGAGGAGGGAGAGAGGTTCATTCCAAAGGAAAAGTCCGTGTGAGGGGAGATGGGACTGATGGGAGCACTTCTCCACCAGAAAGAGAAGTTTGGACTAAGAAAAAGATTTTGTTCATTTCAGCTGTGTCCTGGAAAATGGTTTGGAGCAGAGGCCACAAAGGGTGCAGGAGAGGATGTCCATCCCGGCTGTCTGACATGCTCCAGCGAGGCAAAGGACACAGCGAGGAAGTGGCTGGGGAGTGTGATGAAGAGGGAGAGTGGGACAGTTCCAGTTCTTCCCGCTGACTCCGTGGCATCTTCAGAGCAGGGCACGGCAGCCTCAGAGCAGGGTGCAGGTGCCCCTGCGCTTCACCTCGAAGGTGGTGGTGAGGAGCCCCAACTTCTGCTGGGTGTAGGGGGGGTAGCGCGGGGTGTTGAGCGTCTCCAGCCCCATGTTCCGGTGCAGGCAGCCACGGTGGACAGAGAAGGTGTCAAAGGTGAACTTCCCATGGTATTTTCCCAGGCCACTGTTCCCTGGAACACACAGGACAGGTCCATGCTCAGGATGGGACTCTGTTCCTGATGATGCCTTCTCCAAGCATCAAAATGAGGGAAAAAGACAACTACAGGATTTTCTGAGCAGCACAGACATGGTGGAGGAATTCCATTTTCCAGTGCCTCCTCCAGGTATATCATGCTCAGTCCAGCCAATCTTGCTGCAGCAGTTTGGAGGCCCCAGCATCTCCTTTTTACCCACCTCCATTTATCTACACAAGCTTTGCTGGGTTCTGCAAGTCTTGATTTCACTCCATGATGCTCCACTGTATCTGCCCACAGCTGGAGCTGTTCGACCCTCTTCCCGGAACTCTAAAAGCCTGGAGCCACGTTGGCAACACCAGTTCTCCCAGTTCCTGTGGCTGGTTTAACTGGAGGTTAAGTGACTTCTCAAGGAAGCTTTGGTGCCATCTCACCCCAATGACTTCAGCCCCTTCACCTGCTCTAAAGTGGCTTTACCTAATAATTGAAGGTGGTTGGTCTGAATCATTCCAAATTAAGATAAGTTACGGAATGGGAAGTACAAAAAATTGTTCCCTGAGCCACAGGCAGGTGAGGAATTAATTGTCTGGGTGTTTCATTATGTCTGACTCAGGTGCCAGAGCCGACAGAGATGCTGAGCAAGGGCAGCACCAAATGAAGGGACTTATCCCAGAAATATTTTGGGAAGAGATCAAGTCATACGGAAGTATTCTGGGAAACAACATTCCTGTATTCCTGTATCCCTGGACCATGCTGCACCCACAGCCCAGAGCTAAGCAGCCTCACTTTTCACCTGAGAAAGCAAAAATTGGTGCCTCTGGAGACCAAAAATTTCTTCTTCTCCAAGATCCTGGAAGAGTTTCTCCAGGTTTTCATAAGCACTTTGTTCCTAGTATTTTGTCCTAAAAGTTGGAATGAAGGTACAACCTGGCTCCTGAGGGACATTAAGGGATCCAGCCCAGAACCACACTGGCTGCAGGAAGAAACTTCCATTCCTCACCATGGCTCAGGCCACGGATCACACCTGGCTCCCAATGGCCAGGACTGGGGATTCTGGACCTACCAACGCCTCCAAAGGGCAGCGAGGTCAGTGTCACATGCATCAGGGTGTCGTTGCCACAGAAGCCTCCGCTGCTCGTCCGCTCCAGCACCTGGTTCACTATCTGTGAGGGAGCAGAGAAGGTAGATGAGGGGCTTGCACTTGGCAAACATTACCCAGTTTACCCACCAGATGTTCCCAGAGTGTCTGGGCTCTAAAGACCCTTCAGAGCACATCCTGGGGCTCGTGGAGGAGGTGCCCAACTTCCCTCCCCACTTTTTCTGCTCCACAGACACACCTTGCTGTCGCAGGAGAAGGCGTAGAGGGCCAATGGCCGTGGCCGTGCGTTGATGAAGTCAATGGCTTCATCCATGTTGGCGATTACGACAATGGGCAGGATGGGCCCAAAGACCTCCTCCTGCATGGCAGGGTCCGAGGGCAGCACATCTGCCAGCACGGTGGGAGCTGCAGAGAGGATCAGCCAGGCACAGAGGTTGGAGATGAAACCTCCCCTCAGGACCATTTTTAACCCTAAAACTCTTTTCCCTCTAGAGCCTCCCCTCTCTACGCAGACCCACTGAAAACCCCCAATGTGCTCACCAAGATGTGAGTGAACCCCAAGTCTCACCGATGTAGCGCTCGGCCTCGTCCGTCTGTCCCCCGATGGCCACGCGCCCACTGCCCAGCAGCGCCCGCAGGCGCTGGAACTGCTTGTCATTCACAATGCGGCCAAAATCCGGGGATTCTCGGGGGTTGGGGCCGAAAAACTCGGTGATGGCCTCACGCAGGGCGGGCATGAGCTTCTCCTGCATCTCCAAGGTGCAGAGCAGGTAGTCGGGCGCGATGCAGGTCTGCCCCGCGTTGAAGAAGCGGCCCCAGGCCACGCGCCGCGCCACGTTGGTCACATCACAGGTGTCAGACACATAGCAGGGGTTCTTGCCCCCCAGCTCCAGTGTCACCGGTGTCAGGTGCTTGGCAGCGGCTGTCATCACAATCCGCCCCACCGGGGGGCTGCCTGTGGGTAGGGAAAACATGGATTGAGGTGGGAATCCCACCAGCCATCGCATGGCTCTGGGATGTGGCATTGGGTCCCACCAGACCTCAGATACACATCCCAGATCCTCCAACAGATCCTGGCACCACATCTAGGAGGGCTCTGCTCTGTCCCATGGGACGTACCAGTGAAGAAGATGTAGTCAAACTTGTTCTCCAGCAGCCTGGTGGTCTCCGGCACACCACCAGTCACCACAGCAAAGCAGTCCTGCAAGGAAACAGAAAACATCCCCTTGTGTCACCATGTGTCCCCACCAACAGCATCCCAGGAAGCTGAGACATTGGCTGAGGATGGAGGGAGGAGGTTCTGCACATAGATGATGTGTGGGGATGGTGGGTGTGAGGCAGGGTTGGGAACACCATGGTCTAGGAACAACAGACAAGGACAAGAAGGGCTTCTCACACTGTCCAGGTAACAGCTCAGAGTTTCAGCAATGAGTCTCTCTGTGTTCTTGGAGATCTCTGAGGGTTTGATGATGGCACAGTTCCCTGAGGGAAGATGAACAGGACATCAGCACAGTGACATGGTGACAGAGACCTCTGGGGAGACCCTGGCACTTGCAGGCCAGGGGACTGGAAGTTTGGGCTCACCAGCAGCGATGGCCCCGATGAGGGGCACCAGGAAGAGGTGGATGGGGTAATTCCAGGGTGCTATGATGAGCACCACCCCGTAGGGGTCCTTGCGGATGAAGGCAGAGTCCAGTTGCATCACCTTTAAGGAAGAACATGACCTCAGCACTGCCTTCCCCACCAGCAATCCCTCTCCCCCACTCCCCTTTGCCCAGAGCTTCCTTCTTACCAGGTTCTTGTCCACGTGCTCATCCTTCATCCAGCTGCACAGGTTGTTGAGGGTGACATTGAGCTCATTCTTGCAGAGGAGGATCTCACTGAAGAAAGCCTCGAAGGATGGCTGGGGACAGACATCATGGAAGTGCCACCCCATCACTGACCCCATCATTGACCCTGTCACCCTAACAGAAACCCCATCACCCAACACCAACCCCATCACCCTAGGAGGCATCTCTCCCTCCTTCCAAACATCAATAGCAGGAGGATCTCTTCAGCAGAAGTTTCCATCACCTCCTGTAACTCCTAGGGATTATCAGTGACCCAGAAATTTTATGAAAATAGTTACTTGGCCAGAAGGAAAAAAAAACCTCAAAATTTAAAATTCTCATGCTATTTGTCAAATTCCTGAGCTCAGCACTGTGAACTGGCAACAGAACCCTGAGCCAAAGCAATGTCACCAAAGCTCCTGAAGAGCTGGTCCTGGTGGAAGGCATCCTTCCCACTTGGATGTTCAAGCTGGAAGCAAAGCCCCAACCTCCCTTTCACTGCCTGTGGACTAAAGCTGCACCTTTTAGTCTTAAATTTATCAAAGTCTTAAGACCTTGACTAAAGGGAAGTAATAAAAACCACAGCTTAAACCCCTTGTGATGGAGAAGTGGGTCCTCTTGATAGTTGCGGAGCACAGATTGGGATCATATCATCCTTGCAGGAGAAGTGTGAAGACACCAGGGATAGCCCAGCAGGCTCACTGGAGCCCCTTCATGACCTGGGGAGCAGGGGAGCAAAGCTCCTGTGCTGTGACATCATACTTTGGACTCCTCCAACCCAAAACCACCCCTGGATTGGAGTCTTCCTCCCATCTCCACACCACTTTGGAGTTGGGAAGGCTGGTTGCTGATTCCCAGGATCTTCCACCACCAAGAGACCTTCAGGTCCCCAAAAGGCAGCTGCCAGGAGGTGCGAGGACCCTCTTGGAAGCGAGGGCTCAGGAGGCATATGAGATAATGGAGTGAAGCAACGGGGCTATTCTCAACCCAGGATGATGATGGCATCACCAATCATAAGGAAGATGATGGTTCATTAAGAATTTTGATGAGATACAAAGGTTGTGAGATAGGACATTAAGTCTGAGGTCACCAGTGCCACCAATCATGGGCACCAGAGAGGAACTGGCATTGCTGGAGGTGAGACACCACCTCAGCTACGTAAGAGCAGGTGAAGTGTCCATCTAGCTATGAGGGCCCGGCTGCATAACCAGCTCATTACTGGACAACCGGATCTAATTAGGAGTAATTAGGAAAGATGATGGACACACTCAGAGCACTGATGCCTATCAAGGCCTGGCTGAAGGAGAAGGCCTCGCCTCCAACAAACCAGGCAATTAGGAGCCTTGGGAGATGGCAGGAGGGGGAAAGACATCGCTGAGGGCATGGGCCACTTCACTGATGCCGAACAAAGAGGTGAGGATTCATGGAATCCTGGAATGGATTGGCTTGGAAGGGACCTTGAAGCTCATCCAAGTCTGCCCCATCATGGGCAGGGACACCCTCCACTAGCCCAGGTTGCTCCAAGCCCCATCCAGCCTGGCCTTGAACACTTCCAGAGAGGATGAGCTGTGACCACTAGAATTATCCATAGTGTAGATGTTCCCACTTCACCAGCAGATCATCCAGGAGCTCCTGGCATGCCACAATACCCCGAGCCATATCCAGAGCCCTGCCCATGCCACCATGCCAGTGAAACCAGTCCCTTGGAGGCCCTGGGAGGAATGTGCAGTGCCAGCACATTGCACAATGCCAGTAATCCTGGGCGTGCCAGGCTGGCCAGGAGCACCCCAGGATGTCACCCTTGTGGAGGTCACGTGGACGCCCAGGATGCAGACCAGAGTGTGAAACGCTTCCACCTCGGCCGGTCACCGATAGGCCAACAGGGCCTTTGCCTGGTTTCAGGGCACCAGGGATGGGATCAACAGCACAGTCCCTCCACTATTCCTGGATCTGCAGGGATCCAGCACTTAGAGATGCACCAGCCTGGGAGCACATCAAGGGGGAATCAGGACCCCAGGGAAGGGACACCCCTGTGCCCAGACACTCACAAGGATACAGCACCCAGACAAGGGAGTCTGAAGGACTTCAAAGATGTGATGCCAGTAGCCCCCAATTCCCAGCCCCTCTTACCTTTCCCATATCCAATTCAGTGGCTTCCAGAATCTCCTGCTTCTTGTCATCCAGGAAGCGTCCCAGAGCCTCCAGCTGTGCCATGCGATATTCCATGGGCCGAGTCTTTCCAGAGAGCCAGGATGCCCGCAGGTGGCTCACCAGCCCTGCATAGGGGTTCCCACTGCAGGGGTGAGGGTGTTAGAGGGGACCCAACTCCATTCTACCTCCCCAGAGCTTCATGTCATCCCAGATCCCCATTATCCCATTCCAGCATGAAACTGGATCCCAGATTCCCTGGGGACAGTGCAGGGAGTCTGCACACACCTGTCTCCCTTGCTGCTGGGAGCAGCCCAACACAGCACCATTCCCTGCTGATCTTGTCTTCTCCCTTGGGCTATGCTGGGACATGGTGGCTCACAGACCTCAAACTTTTCCCCCAGCACTAACCCGGGGTCCCCGTTGCCCTGGCACTGCCACAGCTTCCCCTGCCCACCTCCCTGTCTCCCTCCTGCCCCCAGCCCCTTGCTCTCACCACGGAGTGCTGCAGACCATTGGAACTGGCCCCTTCCCAATCCTGCTGCTTCCACTGCACCCAGCAGCTTTCCCAGGATCTTTGCCAGGATCACTGCCCGTGCTGCTGCACTTGCCGCAGCCCAGAAGCTGCTGCTTGGGGGGCTCGAGGGGCTGCTGCATGCCAAGCTGTTGGAAGGAGCTGCCAGTCTCCATGGAGAGCGTGGTGGCCCTGGGGAGAGAGAGACACTGTGTGGGTTATGCCAGGATGGAAGTGCTGGAGATGCCGGCTCGATCCCAAGAGGAGTCACCCGCGGCACCTTTGAAGAGCAGCTTGGTGCTCGGGGCCGTCCTGGTTGTGGGGTGACTCAGCCCAGAGCAGCTGCCAGAGGCCCTGGGAGATGCCTGGGATTCCTGGGATAATCACCATCCTCTGGACACTGACCTGCCCAGGTTGCCCTGCTGATTTAGAGTCACCTATGGGGACCTCAGGGACAAGACACCCCCAAACCTGGGGAGCAGAGCTGCAGCCCCCCATCTGTCACCCTCTCCCTCTCCATGCCCAGACACCCACCCTTCCTCGAGGGAACACCCCCTGTGCCCCACAGCCCCCACCAGCATGGGGGGTGTCAGAGGGGTGCCATGCAGGGAGTGCCGGCTTTGGGGACCCCGCAGTGCTTACCTGGGAGCTCGTGTGGAAGCTGGAGGAGCGCGAGGCCAGGCAGGCACTGCTGAGGCTCGGGGTGAGGGTCCCTAAATGCTGTGGGGCTGAGCCCCATGGCCAGGGGCGGGAAGGATTGGGCCCCGCCTCCGTGGGGCTGGCAGTGGGGAAAAGGTCTGGGATGGGATAGGATAGAATGGGACCTCCCCCTTGGGATGGTGGAACTCCCATGGCCACCTCACCACCACCATGAACCTTGACCCATTTGGACCCCACAGACATCCTTCATCCTGCTCCCATGACCACCCTGATCCATGGGGGTCCCACAGACACCCCTCATCCCGCTTCCCAAGGGTTCCATGATCAATAGACACCCATCATGCTGCTACCATGACTACCCTGGCCCATAGGGGTCCCACCAATACCCCTCATCCTGTTTCCCAAGGGTTCCATGATCAATAGACTCCACTCATCCTGCTCCCAGGAAGGGCCCTTTGCCCTGGCACCCCAGGGTGGCTCCCATTGCCTGGGGTGTGGGGGGCCCTCAGGACGGGTGTTGCCCCTGCCCCACCGCCATGACCCTGCTGGGGCTGTTCCATGTGTATCCCCCCTATCCTGCAGAAACCAGCACCCTCCCAAGAGTCCCATCCCAAGAATCCCCCGCTACCGGCTGGGCCAGATCCCGTCCCGGAGATGTCAGTCACCCCATCCGCCCTGCCCAGCAGTCCCCTCGCCCTGCCCCGGGGCACCCCGCCGTGCCACGCACCCGGGCACCCTCCCAGCCCCAGCTCTGGGGTGACACCAGGATAGGCACGTGCCCTACACCCCCCGACTGGGGTGTCCCCCCGCCCAGGCACTCTGGCACATCCCCCGGACCGGAAAGGGGAAGCGAAAGCAGCAGGGCACAGCACCCAGTGCCACGGGCACCCCGAGGAGGCAGCATCCACCCCGAGGCCTGGTGGGAGCGCTGGGGAGGCTGGGGGGGTCACAAGGGAGCGGAGGGGAGGGTAGGGCTGGGGTGCTGTGCGATGGGGGAGCAATGGGCGCTGTGCGGGGGGGCCAGGGTGCTGTGCGGGTTGGGGTGTGATGAGTGCTGCAGAGGCCGCGGTGCTGAGAAAGGACGCGGGTGGGGGGCACTGAGGAGGGCGGGCAGGGACCGGGGGGGGGGAATCCGGGAGCGGAGGGGAGGGTCCGGGAACGGCCCCTTGAACCATCTCCGTCCCGCCCGTGCTAACCGAAAGAGGAAGCAGCTCCCGCCCCGCCCCGCCCCCGAGAAGTTCCGGCACGGGCAAGCAGGACTGGGGTCGGTGTGACGGGGCGGGGGGGCTGTGAGGAGGCTGGGGGTGCTGAGCCCAGAGGTGCAGTTCTGGGCAGTGCAAAGCTGGGTAGGGGGCACGGGATTCAGGGGTGCAGGATCTCAAGGTTCACAGGGGTACGGAACACAGGGGTGCAACCATGAGTGCAGGTTCAGGGTGTGCAGAGCACAGAGGTTCAGGGCTTGGGGATGCCATGTACATGGGTACACGGTGCTGGATGTAGGGGTGCAAGGGCTGGGGGTGCTGGGCATGAGGGTGCAGGGTCTGTGTGTGCAGGTCACAGGAATGCAAAACATATGGGTGCAAGACTTGGGGTGCCAACAGGGTTCCTTCCACCCTGACACCATCCAGGGCTCTCCAGAAGCACTAATGGAGAAGGACGTTGACGGCTGCCAGGATGGGGCCAAGATAGAGCCAAGCACCAAGCTGGGCACCGAGGGGACAGAGACACAGGTGAGACCAGGGGGACACCAGTGGGGGGAAGCAGGCATGTGGTGGCCATCCCCGAGGGGTGACAGCTGCAATTACCCACAGCTGGACGATTTTGTGGGTCCTCACCCTGACTACAATGAGGAGGAAGAAGAGCAGAAGTACTTTCGCCGCAAACGCCTCGGTGTCATCAAGAACGTGGTGGCTGCCAGCCTGGCTGGTACTCTCACTTACAGCGTCTACCTGGGTATGGGACCTCCCAGGGACCCCCAGAACAACTCGGGGTGTTCAGGGCATGGGGTGACCACCCCTGGACACCCCCAGGTCTGCTTCAAATGCAGCTGATCCTTCACTATGATGAGACCTACCGGGAGGTGAAGTACAGCAATATCCGGTTGGAGGACATTGACCGCAAGGTGCTGATGGGCATCAACGTCACACCCGTGGCAGCACTGCTCTACACACCCATCCTCATCAGGTACAGCCCCACCACGCTCCCCGCCAGCATGGATCACTGGCATGGCCACCCACGCTTCCACTCCTTGCCCTGGCAGGTTCTTTGGCACCAAGTGGGCCATGTTCCTGGCGATTGGCATCTACGCCCTCTTCGTCTCCAGCAACTACTGGGAGCGCTACTACACGCTGGTGCCCTCTGCAGTGGCCATTGGCATGGTGATCGTGCCCCTCTGGGCCTCCATGGGCACCTACATCATGCGGTAGGCATTGGAGGGGTGGGTGGGGCGTGCATGGGGTGCTGGCTGACCCGCTGCTCCACGCAGGATGGCCCAGAAGTACTATGAGTACATTAACTACAAGGAGGAGCAGGAGAAGGAGAAGCAGCGGGCACCACGGGACGCCTGCAATGCCTACATCATCATCTTCCAGACTGTCTTCTACTCCTGCTTCCATGTGAGCCCCAGTGGGGTGGCTGGGATGGGCGTGGGACCATGCCAGCAGCACTGAGCGTGCACCCCTCTACATCCTATAGTTGAGCTTCGTCTGCGCTCAGATGCCCATGGTCTTCTTCCTCAACAACTACCTCTACCAACTCAACCACACGCTCTTTGCAGTGAAGCACTGCGGTGAGGCTGCGGGTGGGGCGCGGGGCGGCACCGGGAGCCCCCCGGTTGGGATTAACCACGGCCTGTGCCCCTCTGGCAGGGACCCTGAGCCACGGCACACTGCCTGGGTTCAACAAGACGGTGCTGCAGAGCCTTCCCCGCAGCGTCAACCTCATCATCGTGGAGAGCGCCTTGATGGGTGCCGCCTTCCTCGCCATGCTGGTGGTGAGCGCCGGGGCGGCAGGGGACAGGGATGGGCTGGACAATGGCAGGACCTCACCCGCCGGCGCTCCGTAGGTGCTGGTGCTGTGTGGCGCGGCGTACCGGCCCATGGAGGAGATCGACATGCGCAGCATCGGCTGGGGCAACATCTTCCAGCTGCCCTTCAAGCACATGCGGGACTATCGCCTGCGGCACCTCTTCCCACTGTTCATCTACAGCGGCTTCGAGGTGCTCTTTGTCTGCACTGGATTTTCCCTGGTAGGATCTGTGACGGGGTGGGAGGTGACGGAGCGGGGACAGGTGATGCTGAGCCTGTGCTCTCTGCAGAACTACGGCGTGTGCGCGCTCGGGCTGGAGAGGCTGGCATATCTCCTCATGGCCTACGGCTTCTCCGCCTCGGTGTGCTCCAGCCTGGCCCTGTGCATGCTGCGCCTGCGCCGGCACATCCCGCTCCTGGCTGGAGCCCTCATCCACTCTGTGCTCCTGGTGACGCTCTTCTGCTGGGCGCCGGAGCCCCGGTGTCTGGCGCAGGCACCGCTGCTCTACAGTATTGCCGCGCTCTGGGGCACCGGCAGCGCCCTCAACAAGACCGGAATCAGCAGTGAGTAGTGGGAAGGTCCTAAAACAGCCTCTGTTGTCCCCAAAACGCCTTGGGGGTCCCCAAAACAGCCTGGGTTGTCCCAAGTTTTTCCACACATCCTCTCCTCATGCACCACGAGTTTGTAGTCTCAGTCCTTGGATCCACGGGACAGACTCACTGTGATTGTCCCCCCTGCCAAGGGGACACACCACAGGAAGGGGACACTGATTCCAGTCTCTGCCACAGTCCTCCTGGGGATGTTGTACAAGAAAAAGGAGCGCCAAGACTTCATCTTCACCATCTACCACTGGTGGCAGGCCTTGGCTATCTTCACCGTCTACCTGTGGTCGGGGCTGCCCATGAAGGTAAGTCCCAGATATGCCCCAGCCCACTCTGAGAGATTCCAGGCTTTTTGGGGACACACCCCCACACCAATCCCAAAACTCTGTGTGCCGCAGGCCAAGCTGTCTATCATGTTGCTGACGCTGGTAGTGGCGGTGGGGACATACCTGTGGATGGAGCGGAAGGTGGCGTGGAACATGGAAGTCCGGCTGCCCCGTATCCCACGCCCACGCCACAAAACACGTGGATACCGCTACCTGGAAGACAACTCGGATGAGACTGGCTCTGACGGTGACGGGGACAAGGAGGATGATGACAGGCACCCAACTGAGGCCACCAGGGAAGACGAGCTGCCAAAAGAGGACGGGGAGCTGCTGGGATAAGGACAGCCTGTTCTGGGCCCCATCCTGCTCTTGGTACCTGAGGGGGTTCCACAGCTCCCCCCGGGTGGGCCCAAAATTCTGCAAACCCCCTCAGGTCAGGCTTGCAGCCCCCCCTGCCTGGGAGCTAAGCCTAAAGCCCCCAGGCAGCCCAGATCCCCCCACATTGGCTGAAGGACCCCCACACTGGCCCATGAATCCCCTAGATCAGATCCAGAGCCTCCAGATTGATCTACAGCCCCCAAATTGTGGGACAGCCCCCAGGCAGGCCCATAGCCCCTCAAATTATGATGTAGTTGTTCAGGTCAGACCTGCAGGCCCCCATACCAGCCCCAGAGCCCCCACACACAAATCCACAGCCCCTCATACAAGGCTCACGCCCCCCAGGTAGATCCACAGCCCCCCAAATTTGGCCAAAGGCCCCCCCAGGTGAGGCCCACAGACCCCTGAGCAGATGCACATTCCCTCTAGCAAGGCTTGCAGCCGCCCCCAATGTCCTGCAGACCCCCAGCCCTCCCGTATTAGCCCATTAGCATCCAGACTCCGCAGGGCTACCTTGGAGCCCCCAGGCAGGTAGACCCCCTCCCAAACTGGCCCACAGCCCTTCAGACCAGACCCACACGCGCCCCAGGCAGACCCTGCAGCCCCCCCTAGGTTGTCCCGGAGCCCTTCTAGCTCAGCCTGCAGCCCCCCAGGCCGGCCCCGCAGCCTTCCCGACCTATCCCATCCCCATTTTCCTTCAATAAACCCCCTCCCTCCGTGCCCTTGGCCCTCACCTCCTCCATCCTCCGGCCGCGCACCCGAAGCGTCCCCTTCCCGAAGCGTAGACTACAGCTCCCGGCGTGCCACGCGCTGCTCGGCGCGATGGACGCCGGGAGTTGTAGTCCCCGCCACGTGGAAGACGCCTCCATCTCCCCACTCAAACCACAACTCCCGCGACCGTTCGCGTCGCCCGGCGCCATCATTGCCCCCCCCCGCCGCCGACTTCCGCGCATGCGCGGTGCGGGCTGTTGTTGTGGCGGCGCGGCCCGGCCCGCGGCTTCACCCGGGCGGGAGCGATGAGCGACAACGATGACATCGAGGTGGAGAGCGACGTGAGTTGGGCCCCCAACCCCGAGACAATCCCTAGGATAACCCCCCGTGGCTCTTCCCTACTTTAGGAGCTCTGAGAATGTGGTAATGTTTGGTTTGTGTGTGTTCTTCCTTCATATGGCGGCGCCCCCCCCCACCATCTTCTTCCTCTTCCTCCTCGCCCGGGTCGGGGCTCCTCAGGAGGAGCAGCCGAGGTTTCAGTCCGCGGTAGGTCGCTGGGGGCCGCCCCGCGGCACCCCCGGGATCGGGAGCACGTGGGCGGGGGTGTGAGGGGGGCGGGATTTGGGGAGGGGGTGACATGGAAGGGGACTGGGGGAATGGGGATCCTGGGGGAGAGGGGGATGTTAGGCGTGTCCTGTGGGGATCGGGGTGTAGGGGGACATCAGTGGGATTGGGGGTGCTGACGGGGACACCAGTGGGGTTGGGGGTCTTTTTGAGGGGAACACACCTTTGGGGTTGGGGTCTTCTGGGGGGGGCTGTGACATGGAGAGGGATCTGTGCGGATGGGGGTCCTGGGGGAGAAACCTGGGCTTGGGGGGTGTCCTGTGGGGATGGGATTCTTGGAACGGGGGGACACCAGTAGGGCTGGGGGGCTTTTGGGGAGGAGGGTTGGGCTTGGGGAGGTGACACCTCTGGCTGGGTGGTCTTATTTGGGTTGGGGGCTGTGACACAGAAGGGGATCCATGGAGTCATGTATTTTGGGGGGGCAGCTGGGTTTGGGGGTGTCCTGTGGGGCTGGGGGTCCTATGGGGGGGAGACACCAGTGAGGCTTGGGGTTGTGTGGAAGAGGATCCGGGGCTCTTTAGGGGAGGGGAAGTGGGAGGCTTTCTGGGGGAAAATGGGGGTGTTGGGGAGGCGTTACGTGTGGGGCCGAGTCATTTAGGGGGGTGGGGCTACGTTTGGGGGGCACAGGGGGAACAACACCAGGGGTTGACAGAGGGCATGAGGGGGGTTGTGCCTGGTTGGTTGGGAGGCAGGGGTGGAGGTGACATGGGGAGGAGGTGACCGTGTTCCAGGGGGAAAGTGCTGTACCCCCCGCGCCGGGGCCCGGAGCTGCCCCGGTAGCAGGAAGCTGGGGAAACCGAAAGCACCGGGAGCCGCCTCCTTCCCACGCCCTCACGGCCCAGCCGGAGGCGTCACAGCCACGGAGCCGCCCTGGAGGCTCAGCTGAGCTCCCACAACGATTCCCAGAGGGAATTTTAGGGGTGCAGGTGGTGGCCTCCTCCCGGTGCCACCCCTATCCCCCCCATCCCAGGCCGACAAACGGGCTCATCACAATGCGCTGGAGCGCAAGCGCAGGGACCACATCAAGGATAGCTTCCACAGCCTGCGGGACTCCGTGCCCTCGCTCCAAGGAGAGAAGGTGAGTTTATGGAGCGTGCTGAGGGCACGGACAGCACCCACCCATGGTCCAGGCTTCTCAATCTGGGACGATCCCGAGGCTCTCTTGTGCCACAAGAGTCCCCAGTGAGGACCAGAGCCAGGGTGGGATGATGAGACAGGTAAAATTCCAGTTTTCCCCCCTGGACTAGGTCTTTATCTTGCCTCTGGCTTTTCCCACTATTGCAACAGGCATCCCGGGCCCAAATCCTGGACAAAGCCACAGAGTACATCCAGTACATGCGCCGGAAAAACCACACACACCAGCAGGACATTGACGACCTCAAGCGGCAGAATGCACTGCTGGAGCAGCAAGGTGGTAGCTGAGATCTGGCTGGAGATGGGGTCTGGCAGGGTCTGAGATCCAGGAGCTGAGGCCTGGCAGGCTTTGGGAGCCTGGATCTGGCATCCAGTAGAATTTGGGATCTAAGATCCAGTGGGAGCTGGGGTCTGGCAGGAGATATGATCCATCAGAATCCAGGATCTGGTGGAAGCTGAGATCCACTGGGAGTTGGGATCTGGTGGGAGCTGAGGGTCTGGCAGGACCAGAGTTTGGCAAGATCCAGAATTCAGTGGGAGCTGGGGTCTGGCAGGATCCGGGGTCCAGAAGAGTTTGGGATCCAGGGGGAGCTGGGGCCTGTCGGGAGCTGGGCTGCAGGCAGGGCCAGGCCTGGGGGTGACACAGTGCCGTCCCTCACAGTGCGTGCGCTGGAGAAGGCCCGAGCCAGCGCTCAGCTCCAGGCCAGCTATCCCGCGGACAACAGCCTCTACACCAACCCCAAGGGCAGTGCCATCTCCGCCTTCGACGGCGGCTCCGACTCCAGCTCTGACTCGGAGCCCGACGAGCCGCAGAACAGGAAGAAGCTGCGCATGGAGGCCAGTTAGGCCCCTCCGCCACCCCCCGGCCCGCGGCAGGACTCGCTCCCTCCGCTCCTAGAAGCTCTTGGACTGCAGCTTCCCAGCCCTCCCCGGCCCCTTCCCTGCTCCCACCGTGCCGGCCCCGGGGGGAGCCGGCCAGGCCGAGCAGAAAGACTTGGGGGCGTCAGGGAGACTCCCCCGCCAACTCCCCTCTGCTAGCGACCCCCCTCCCCTTCCCTCCTGGTTTTATAGGAGCATTTCTATTTATACCCGGGGACCAGTGCAGTCCAGAATGGGGAGGAGCCAGGCAGCCCCCCCCCAAAAAAGGAGCAAGCACTGGGGGGGGATCTCCCTATTTATTTTCTCCGTGTGCAACTCCACCTGCCCGAGTCGGCGGAGCACAGAGCCAGGCTTAGGGGCTCCTTCCCCACTCCTCCTCCTCCTCCTTCCCTCCCTTGACCCTTCCCAACCTCCGTGGCATTTTCCGAACTCCAGTGGCCCGTCCCTGCCCCGTAGGTGCCCCTCTTCCCCCCATTTTGATGCCATTCCATGGATCTAAGGTATGTTGTACATACTGCCCAGAGTTGTCTTGCAAGTTAAGGCTTCCCTTTACTATAAGACTATAAATAATAAACAAAAAAAGCCAAAATTCCACTTATTTTATCCTCCCCCGTGGTTACCATTTGTTCTTGGAATGGGGGAAGTTGGTGCCACCGGATCCAGACGTGGCATCACCTCCTGCCCCGCATCCCCGGGGCCACCAGCACACGGCGGGTGTGACTTCTGGTTTATTGATGCCAAAAAGCTCTTCCAGAGCCCATGTCCCACCTGGGCTCTGGCCAGGATGGCAGCAGGACACCCGGCCTGGAGCAGGCTGGATTTTGGTATTGCTAGCACCCTGAGCACCGTGCTCTGCCTGGTCAGGCTGCCGTGGGGATGGGATGGGCTGTGCCACTCGCTCCTGGGGCTTGGCACCCCGAGCCAGCAGCAGGACTCCCCTACTGGGCAGCGGATGCTGGATCCAGGCTGGGCACAGGATACTGCAGGAAGTGCATCACCGCCCTCGCCACCTTCTCCGGGGCAATGTTGTAGACAGGGTGCGTGGCCTGCTGTGGGAGAGAGAGGGATGGAGGAATGTTAATCATGGAGTCCTGGAATGGTTTGGGTGGGAAGGCACCTTAAGGATCACCTAGTCCAGCCCACTGTGCACAGGGAATCTCTGCCATCCCAGATTGGTCCAAGCCTGGTCCAAGCTAGCCTTGGACACTTCCAGAGAGGGGGCAGCCACAGCTTCTCTGGGCAGCCTGTGCCAAGGCCTCAGCACCCTCACAGGGAAGAATACCTTGCCCATATCCCATCTAAAATTCCCCTTTTCTGGTTTGGAGCCATTCCCCCTCGTCCTATCACTCCAAGCCCTTGTCCAAAGCCTGACTCAAGCTCCCTTGAAGCTCTTTAGGCCCTTGAAGCACCTCTAAGCTCTTCCTGAAGCCTCCTCTTCTCCACGCTGAACCCCAAGTCTTTTCACTGCCATTGGATCTGCCTTTCTCAGTGCTGTGGAGCGCAGGAAGCTCATCCCTGCCCTCCCCAGCAATGCCTAGCACTTACCAGGCAATTCTCAGGGATACCCAGGACCACCTCATTGTGGAGATCTCCACTTCCAAAGTGCTGTGCAATGGCCAACCCACTCAGGCAGTAGCAGGTGTGGTAGAAATCCCGGGATCTGCATGCAAAGAGATACTGGGATGCTGAGGGGGCATCAGGGCATCCCTGGTGCCAGGCAGCCCTGTGTTTCCCCCCACACTCACTTTCCTGGCTTATCCAGCAGCCCGCCAGCTGGGCACTGGCAGCACAGGAGAATGTATTCCTGCAGTGCCAGCTGGTCAAACATCCAGTGTGCCATGCTCAGTGCTGGATCACCTGGAAGGGAAATCCCAGAGGAGAAACACCACAGAAGGTGTCAAATCCCTTCAGATGCCGTTCTGGGGACAGAGGAGGCCTGTGGCAACTCACCCCTGGCATGGAGTGCCCGATGGAGCAGGGGCAGGAGCCCAGCTTGCCAAAAGGAGTAGCACCCATCCACCAGCTTGTTGCAGCGGCCCTGGAATCCACCCTCGAAGCGCATCTGCCGCCCGGTCACCCAGTGCTGCGGGGCAATGGGAACCAGTGTGGGACCAAAGCTCCCCGGCAGGATGAGAGCCCCAGTATCCTGGAGAGGGGTCACTCACCAGCAGGCTCCGGAGGTTCAGCAGATGTTCCTGCTTGAGGATGACCAGTGCAGCCACACCACAGAAAGTGTAGCCGCCATGGGCCTCCATGCCCGGCACGCCGCCGATCCCACCCTCCCAGTTCTGGCACCTGTGGGAGCAGAGTCAGGGCAGCAGGAACGCCAGGAATGTCATCTCCTGTCCCCCACCTGTCCCCAGATCTCACCTGGCAATCCACTCGGCCGTCCCAGCAAAGAGTGCAGGTGTCAGGATATTGGTCAGTGAGGCCACTGAGGCGGCGCAGTAGGCGCTCCTGCAGGAAAAGGGTGCCCAGAGATTCAGGAGGTGGGTGCTCAGGGATATGGCACTGGAACCCCAAAGTGGCACCAGCTCCCTAAAGTTACACTGGGTCCCCAAAATGGCCCAAAATGCCTGATCTAGGCACTGGCTCCCTGCGACAGCACCCTGCCATGGCAGTAGCTCATGTCACTGGTCCCCTGCCATGGCACCAGCACCCCAAAATAGCATTGGCTCCCCAAAACTACACCTCCCCATGGCACTGGCTCCCCACCATGGTACCATCTCCCCCAAACAGCACTGGTTCTCCAGTGTGGCACCAGCCACTCCCCAAAACACCACCAGCTCCCCAAAACACAACTAGGTCCACAAAATTGCACCCTGCCATGGCACTGGCTCCTCAGAATGGCATTTGCTCCCCAAAAGTAGCACTGACTGCCCAAAACTGTACCCCAAATTAGCAGTGGCTCCCCACCATAGCACCAGCTCCCCAAAATTATACTGGCTCTCAAACATCACCAGCTCCCAGCACTGAATCCCCAGAATGGCACCAGCTCCCCACCACAGCAGCTGCTTCCAGCACTGGCTCTCCAAAATGCCCAGGCGCTCCCTCCAAAACAGCCTCCCCACACAGCCCTCACCCACCTGACATCCACCTCTCCACCCACGTGCATGAGGAAGGAGCCATCCGGCTGCTTCAGTGAGTACAGGTATTCCAAGAGCTTCTTCCTGCAGGAGCCAGGGGCTGTGAGAGGGGGGACACGCAGCCCAGCTCCCACCCAGCTCCTCCCGGCCCCCAGACCTGTCGATGACGCCGAAGGCCTCCTCGGTGCCGATGATGCAGAGCGCATTGACGGCGGCGTAGGTGGGGGCAAGGTGGGGGTGCTGGCCGGGACCCCCCCCAAATCCACCCTGGGGGCTCTGGCACCGCCTCAGGAATTGGCAGACACTGTGAGAAGGTGAGGAAGGGGCTCAGCATCACCTGTGTCACCCTGCTGGGGCGATGCATCCCCTCCCGGCCTTGTGAATCCCCCCCGAGGTCGAAGCCGGGGGTGTCACCCTCCCATCTCCGTCGTCACGAGGAAGCCGCCGGAAGAATGGGCGGCATTGACGGTGGCAGGGAGACAAAGCACTCCTTTGCTCTGGGGACAGCGGGAGGTGGCACCTCCGGAGTCACGCGGGTGGCCAGCAGCAGCAGTGGCCATGGTGGGGTTCCCCCCAGCTCTCCCCACTCACTCAGAGGCCACCGAATCGGGAATGGGCTCATCCAGCAGCTCCAGGCTGTGCAGGATCCAGTAGCAGAGCCAGGGGCGGCTGGCATCCAGACACTGCAGGGACAGAGGGGACAGTCAGGGAATGGCACCGGACATGGCAGGAGCAAGGAGACAGCCAGGAGAGCCCCCAGAGCATCGCTGGGATGAGCGTGGACACACAGGGAATGCTGTGTCCACCCTGGGGCTGGCAAACCCCTGGCAACAAACAGCCCTGGTGACAGCCCCAGGGCGAGGGGAGCACCCCAGGCAGTGGCTCCAGGTGGCACATCCGGCATTCCCGGTACCTCATAGGCTTCAGTGAGCTGCCGGAGACCCCTCTTCAGGTAATGGAAGTGCTTCTCCCGCTGCAGGACGTACCTGGAATACAGAGAGGACAGGATGAGCAGGCAGGGTGGCCTGAAAAAGCAGGGGGACAGTGGCAGGAGGGGCAGAATCCTCCTGCAGCACCCACTGGGGTCAATCGGTCTTTTGGGATGGGAGTTATTTATGGTTATTGGGAGTTTTGATACTCACTGTGAGGAGTGATGGTTTGTCTTGTAGGCATCATAGACCTCCTGCACAATGTCCTCCACCTTGGACTAGTCAGGAAAAATGGGAATAAAGACTATGGTGAGCTCTGGGAAGAGGCTTTGCATGTCCCAAACATGATCCCCACTGAACCCCGCAACTCCTACCCCATCCCAGGGGTTTATCTGATTCACAGCCCCATCTCACCCAGTAAAACCAAACTAAGAATTCCCAGGAGCTTTGTGCCCCAAATTATGCCAGAATCCAGCACCATCCTGTGCTGCTTTACAAATCCAGCTTGAGTTTGGTTCAGCTCAAGACTGTCATAGAAAACACTCTCCTCCTGCTCACGCTGGGATAACTGGGGACTTGGACACTCTAAGCCACGGTAATCCTCAAGGAAATACCCCGGGATCAGCCTCAGGGGTGAGGAGGGGCCACACGGGGACCTGCATTCATGGCACTGTGTCCTGCCAGAGAACAACTGAGCAAGAAGAACCCCATGGATTGGGAAACCCGGAGTCACTTTTTACCCCGTCCCAGCACCCAGGGGAGCTGCCAGGGGCTGGGTCAGGACAGTGGGATGGAGGGGAGAGTCTGGCTGTCCCAGAACTTCTCACCCTCCCCCAGCTGGTGCTGGGGAACGTGTCCCGCGGAAGCTGCCGAGGCTGGCGGGTGGCAGCACCGCCGGGCCCCCCAAAACACTGGTCACTGCCGCGCTGTTGTCACAGCGGGTGTGGAGACAGTAGTCTCGTGGGGATACTGGGATCGGGATCATTCAATCCCATGGCACCCCTGAACCCCGTCCCAGAGCAGCCTAAAGCCCTGCCCCACGGCAGCCCGGCACCCTAAACCCCATTCCATGGCACCCAAAAACCCAGCCCCACGGCAGCCCGGCACCCTAAACCCCATTCCATGGCACCCCAAAGCCCAGCCCCACGGCAGCCCGGCACCCTAAACCCCATTCCATGGCAGCCCAAAGCCCAGCCCCATGGCTGCCCGGCACCCCACACCCCACACCCCACCGCCCCGGCACCCCTCGCCCCACAGAGCAGCCCCCCGGCACCTGCTCGGCGGAGGTGCAGGTCCGCAGCCCATCGTCCCGCAGCCGCCGCCGCCCGCCGGAGCCGGGGGCCGCTCCCGCCATGCTGCGGCCGCGGGGGCAGCGGGCGACGGCGGCCGGGAGGGGACGCGCGGCCGCGCTCCTGGCCCCGCCCCACCACACACGGCCACGCCCTTCCCCGGATGGCCACGCCTCTTATTTATTGGGCACGCCCAGCCCCGGCGCGCGTGCGCAGAGAAGCCACCCCGGGGCCGCTGCCTCATCGTGATGTGACGTCATTTATTGCATCATCATAGAACCCACGGGTTGGGTCGATAACAGCCTTAAAACCCATCCAGTTCCACCCTGTGCCGTGAGCAGAGACACCTTCCACCAGACCAGGTTGCTCCAAGCCTTGTCCAGCCTGGCCTTGGACACTTCCAGAGATGGGGCAGCCACAGCTTCTCTGGGAAATCCACTCCAGTGCCTCAGCACCCTCACTGTAAAGAATTTCTTCCTAATATCCAATCTACACCTCCCCTTTTCCACTTTGGAGACATTTCCCCTTGTCCTGTCACTCCATGGCCTCATCCCAAGTCCCTCTCCACCTCTCTTGGAGCCCCTGTAGGAACTGGAAAGGGCTCTAACTCTCGCTGGAGCCTTCTCTTCTCCATGCCAAGCAATCCCAGCTCTCCCAGCCTGTTCTTAGCCCTTGGAGGATTTCTGTGGCCTCCCCTGAACATGCTCCAGCAGCTCCCTGTCCTTCCCGTGACAAGGACCCCAGGGCTGGACACAGCGCTCCATGTGGGGTTTCACCTGAGTGGGACAGAGGAGGACAATCCCCCCTCACCCTGTTGCCCATGCTGCCAGCAACACAGCCCAGGACATGGGTGGCTTTCCAGGGCTGCCAGCACACCTTGTCAGGTCATATCCAGCCTCTCATCCCCCCCAGATTCCTCTCATCTGGGCTGCTTCTCATCCCACCACCTGCATCCTGCACTTATATTGGGAGTTGTCCTGACCCATGTGCCAGCCCTGTCCTTTGCCTTGTTTACCCTCACAAGTTCCCACGGGAACCTTGTCCCTGGACAGGAAAACCTGGACAACCCACCCTTGTCCAGGTCCTGCTGGGTGCCATCCCATCCCTCCTAAGTGTCAGCAGTCCCTCTGGTGCAGCTCTGTGTCACCGCAGTGTCCCCTGCTGCACCTCTTTGTCCAGTTCCCAATGCCCCCAGAGCAATCCCGGGTACATCCCTGGTGCTCCCAAAGCCCCCAGAGTCGCCGCTGCTCCCCCTGGTACATCCCCTGTCCCCCACCTCCGGTTTTCCAGAGCATCTCCAACAAATCCTACGGTGCATTCCTGGCTCCATCCCCCCGTTCTCCCCAACTCTCCTCCCAGTCCATCCCCCGCGTCGCCGCCCAATTCCCCACAGCATCTCCCGGTGTATCCCGGGTGTCCCCTCCCCGCTCCCCACAGCATCCCCCGGTCCATCCCCGGTGTCGCCCCCCTCGTTTCCCCTCCCGGTGCCCCCTCCCGCCGCCGCCGCTCGCGCCCCGCCCCGCCCCGGTGCATCCCCCGGTGCCAGCCCGGCCCGGCGCGGCGGCGGCGCAGCTCGCGGCCCCGGAGCGGCCCCGGTGTGGCGGCGGTGGCGGCGGCCCGGGCCCGCCATGGCCAAGCAGTACGACGTGCTGTTCCGGTTGCTGCTGCTCGGGGACTCGGGCGTGGGCAAGACCTGCCTGCTCTGCCGGTTCACCGACAACCAGTTCCACCCCGCCCACATCTCCACCATCGGTACCGGCACCGACAGCGCACGGCGGCCGCGGCGGCGGGAGCGGGGAAACGGGGAACCGGGAGCATCGGGGAAGCGGGAGCAATGGGGAGGCGCAGCACCGGGGAAACGGGAGCATCGGGGAACCGGGCAACCGGGAAGACTGGGAGCCGCAGCACCGTGGAAACGGATATGCCGGGGAAACGGGGAGCCGCGGCACCGGGGAAACGTGAAACCGGGAGCATCAAGGAATCGGGAGCAATGGGGAGGCGCAGCACCGGGTAACCGGGAGCACTGGGAGCCGCATTACCGGGGAAAAGGGAAAACGGGGAACTGGGGAGCCGTGGGCAACAAGAAACCGTGAGTACTGGAAAGCCAGCCGCAGCACCGGGGAAACGGGAAAATGGGCAACGGGGGAGCGGGAAAACCGTGGGAACTGGAGAACCGGGAGACGCAGCAACCGAGAAATGGGAATCCAGGGAACAGGAAAACCGTGGGCATCGGGGAACCGGGACTGCCGAGGAACTGCCGAGAAACCACGGGATCGGGGAAACGGGAAACCAGGGCACCAGGGAGTCGTGGGAACCGGGGCACTGGGGAGTGGTGGGCACGGGAAAACCGGGGGCACCGGGAAAGGGTTAACCGTGGGCACTGGAGAGCTGCAACACTAGGAACATGGGGAAACAGGTAACCAGAGAGCGGGAAAACCGGGCACTGGGGAGAGGGAAAACTGTGGGCACCGGGGAACCAGGAGCATCGAGAGATGCAGCACCGGGGAACCGGGAAGTAATGGGCATCGGGAAACGGTAAAACTGTGGGCATCCACAAGCCGGGTGCAGCATAGGGAAACTGGGAAACCGGGGGCTCTGGAGTGCCGCGGCTCCAGGGAACCAGGAGCATCAGGGAGCCAGTTCCCTGGAGCATCAGGGAGCCAGGAAATCCTGGCTATGGGAGAACCGGGAGGACCAGGCACCTCTGGCACAGGGGAACCGGGAGCAGCATGCAGCCGGGAAGTGAGAGCATTGGGCAGCCACAGCACCGAGAAGCCGTAGCTCTGGGGAACTGGGAGAACTGGACAGCCACAGCACCGGGGAACTGGGAGCACCGGGATCAGCACCTGGCACCGAGGCCTCTTGCAAGGCCAGGCACTGGGTGCGGGGATCAGCACCAGGCCATGTTGGGGCATGGGGTGGGTCAGGAGGGAGGAGAGGACCAGAGGGCCCCCAGTGACAGCATCTCCTGGAAAGGGAAACACCAGGACACCACACCCCATTCCAATCCCAGGTGTCGATTTCAAGATGAAGACCATCGAGGTGGATGGGATCAAGGTGCGGATACAGATCTGGTGAGTGGCAGCACTGGAACCTGGGGGCAAGAGAGAAGAAATTCTGGGGGTTCTGAGTCCTGCTCCCCCCACCCAAGGTAAGGGCTGAGCCCTGCCATACTCATGCCATGGGTGGTGGCACTGACCCGCTGTCGCTGGGCAGGGACACAGCCGGCCAGGAGCGGTACCAGACCATCACCAAGCAGTACTACCGGCGGGCTCAGGTATGGGGGCTCCCTGTCCTGCTACACAGGAGAGGGGAAACTGAGGCACAATTTTGGGGTGTCAACAGCCGCCCCCCAACCCCTGCAGGGCATTTTCCTGGTGTACGACATCAGCAGTGAGCGCTCCTACCAGCACATCGTGAAGTGGGCCAGCGACGTGGATGAGGTGGGGGTTCCTGAGGGGAGGTCTGGGGGTTCCCCAGCCGTGTGTTGGGGGGTCCTTACACTGTTCCCCCACCCAGTACGCACCCGATGGCGTCCAGAAAATCCTAATCGGGAACAAGGCGGACGAGGAGCACAAGAGGCAAGTGCCCAAAGAGCAAGGGCTGCAGGTGAGCGGGGGCTGCTGTGTGCCCCCCCCAGGGGCAGGACCCCTCCTGCACCCCCAGCATGGCCAGCCTCTCCCTGAGCCCCCCCCCCCTGCACTCAGGACCCCGACAGCCCTCCTGCAGCCCTACCTCTATCTGGGACCCCCAAGCCTCCCCAGTCCCTCCCAGCATGAGCAGGGACCCCCCCATCCTCTTGCAGTCTGTACCCAGGCACCCCAAAACCAGCTCCCCCAGTGCCCGGGAACCCTCTTTCCCTCCATCTCTGCAGTGGTTGTGCACCGCCAAGGCTCCCTCTTCCCCACTTGCAAAATGTTCAGAGACCCCTAACCTCTCCAGCAAGGTCTCCTGTACCCCTGAAGCACACAGTGACCTCCTTGGTGTCCCCCTTGGGACCTCTTGACCCCCAAAGCACCCAGTACACCTCCCTACAATCCCAGCATGGCCAGACCCTCCACAAGCCCCCCCTGCATTCCACATGGGCCCCAACAGCCCTCCTGCAGCCCTACCCATATCCAGGGACCCCCCCCCAAACATCCCTACCTGTATCCAGTGACCCCTCATGCTCCTGCAGTTTGAACCCAGGGACCACTGACCTCCCCCTGCAGCTCCAGAGCATCCAGGAAACCCCTTTACTGCCCAGTGCTACCCCAGGGTGTCCAACAATCCCCAATTCCTCCCAGTACCCCTCTCAGTGACCTCTGAACCCCAAAGCATCCAGCACCCCTCCCAGGGCCCCCTGCACCCACCACCCAACCCAGGTGTGCCCCTATGCCAGCCCCCCCCACAGCTCTCCTGTCTGTCCGTGCCCGGCTGTTCACATTCCAGAGAGGGGGGCAGGGGTATTGAATCCCCCCTCCTCCCAAATCATGCTACCCCCCCTCCCTGCCAAACTCCTGGTGCTGCAGCTGGCCAGGGAATACGGGATGGATTTCTACGAGACCAGTGCCTGCAGCAACCTCAACATCAAGGAGGTATGAGGAGACTGGGGCAGGGGGGTTCTGAGGGGGTTGGGGCTGGCCTGGGGGGCCTGGAGAGGTCAGGGGGTATTGGAGGGGTCCCCCAGGTTCACCCCACCCCTCTCCCGCAGTCCTTCACACGGCTGACGGAGCTGGTGCTGCAGGCACACCGCAAGGAGCTGGACGAGCTGCGGGGGCTGCCCCGCGCCCCCACCCTGGCTCAGCTGGAGGAGGACGAGCAGCAGCCCCTGGGGAGCGAGGACACCCCCAAAACATGCTGGTGTTGAAGGCTGGGACCCCCCGACCCCTCCTCCTCAGGCTGTGTCAGGGGGCATGGTAGGGGCAGGATTGAGGCAGCCCCCACAGAGTGGGGAGCGACATGGGACACCCCCAGGGACAGGGAACGTGGCAAGGGGGGCCCCCCCATCCTGGCACCTGTGCCCTCCTCAGCTCGCGGGTAGGGTGGGGGCTGTCCAGGCACTGTGTGCCCACCCTGTGCCACCCCATGCCCGTGGGACCCCCGGTTTTACACAGTGGTTTGCAGAATAAAGGTGATGCTGGAGGGGCTGGTGGTCTGTGTGCTCCAGGGGGGCTGTGGGCAAGATGCCATGGCAGCAGGCACAGCCTGGGCATGGACACTCGAGTGGTGATCAATAATTGAGGGTGATCTGGGGCTGCCAGCATGGTGTCCCCTTTCCAGGCTGGTCACAGGGACATGGGGCATGATGCCCATGGAGTGCCATGGCCACCACCACAGCCTGCCAGGCTACCAGCTCTGCCCCAGCTGTGGGAACAGGGTCGGAAAACTTGGTGGCAGCACTGGGATGAGCCAGCAGCGGGATGGTGATGGGCTGGGATGGGTGGTTACTGGGATGATGGTGGGCACTAAGATAGTCGAACCTACTGGGATCTAGGTGGACACCAGGATGCTGCCAGGCGCTTGGATGGGCACCACAGGACCATGGTAGGCACCACAGCAGATAGGCCCAAGGGTGGAGCTGGTACTGGGACCAGTGGGCCCCAGGACTAGTGGGCACTGGGATGGGCAGCACAGGAGGCCCCAGAAGTGATGCCATGGCAGCACCAGGCAAGGAGGAGTACTGGGACACTTGTCCCCTCCTCCTCTGCCCCACAGAGCCCCAGCTCCCAGATTCCTGTTATTCCCTGACTCCCGTTATTCCCCAACTCTCACTGCCATTCCCAACCCTCGGGAACATGCCATTCTAGGCTGGGAGCATCCCACACCCCGCAGGCAGCAGGATGAGCAGCCGCAGCGCGCCGTGCCATGAATTATTGAGGCAGGTAGAGCATCGCCTTGGCCCCGTGCCACCTTCCTCCTTCCATGGGTGGGACGGGCGGCTCAGGTTTCTCCTGAGCTGCGGCGGGGCCTGGAGACCTTTGGACCATGACGTGAGCACCGGGAAGCCCTTAAGAGGCGGCGCAGGGCACGGGGCACAAGCAGCCGCACGCCTGCAGCCATGACCGTCCCCATCGCCAAGTCCTTCTATGACCTGAGCGCCACCTCCTTGCAGGGGGAGAAAGTGGATTTTGGTGTTTTCCGGGGCCGCGTGGTCCTGATTGAGAACGTGGCTTCGCTCTGAGGCACCACGGTGCGGGATTACACCCAGCTCAACCAACTCCAAGCCCGCTACCCCCGGCGGCTGGTCGTGCTGGGCTTCCCCTGTAACCAGTTTGGATACCAGGTAAGTCCTATGGGCCACAAGGCAGGGGGTGAGGAGCTGGGAAACACAGGGCTCTGGATTTCTCCTTCCCCGCCACAGGAGAACGGCACCAACGAGGAGATCCTCAACACCCTGAAGCACGTGCGGCCCGGGGGTGGCTTTGAGCCCAACTTCACCCTGTTCCAGAAGTGCCAGGTGAACGGGAGTGACACCCATCCCGTGTTCGCCTACCTCAAGGCTCACCTGCCCGCACCGGCCGACGAGCCCGCACATCTGATGGCCGAGCCCCGCTTCGTCGTCTGGAGCCCTGTGCGGCGCTCCGACATCTCCTGGAATTTTGAGAAGTTCCTGGTGGGGCCTGAGGGGGAACCGTTCCGGCGCTACAGCCCCCGTGTGCCCACAGCTCAGCTGGAGCCCGACATCCAGCGTCTCCTCAAGCTGGCCAAGTAATCCTAGCTCCAGTGTGATCCTGGCTCTGGTGTGATCCTGGCTCTGGTGTCACCCCGGGGTGGCCCCAGCTCTCCGCAGAGTGACAGCCCCCTCTGAAACCTCCACGGGGAGGGGGCTTGATGGGGCAGAGGGTTGGAGCCGCCGGGGCGGCGTGGGCTGGTGGCAATAAATGAGCCGCAGGGAGCGTGCCTGGATCCACGTGGTTTTTGAGAGTGTAAATGGATCCGTGAGGTTTTTGGAAACATGTGGTTTTTAGGGGGAACAGGAAGGACATACAGCCCTGAAAGGCCAGATCCAGGAAATGGAGGCTCAGGGATAGGTGGGTGCCAGGCTGGCTGCACCCAGTTCCCCATGGGTGTTGCTGGGGCCGGGTGCCAAGAGCAACACTTCACCTACCCCAGGGCAGTGATTTCCCACACCCAGCTCCTTCCCGCCTCAGGAATAGGGAATTCCCAGCAGGGCAGGGCCAGGTTCCAAACCCCAGGGCAGGGCAAAGTGACCCAAACCAATTCTGTGGGAAGGGAAAATGATCCAAGTCCTTTCTCTGCAGGGTTTAGGAGAGCACTGGAAAGTGCAGTTCTCCACTGCACTCTCCAGTGCTGGGAAGGGCCAAGGAGGAATTCCACAGGTTCCTGGGATGGAAAAAGTCTCCTGCATCAGTTCCCAAAACCCTTCACCAACTACAGGGGGTGAAGCCCACTCCCAAAATACTCCTGCCTGTGCCACCAAGCTGTCACACATCACATTTATTACCCCACATACGAGGGCTCCTGAGGTGGGATGGGGTGGGAATCCCTTTGGATCCTGTTTTAGGGACCCTTTTATGTCTTCAGCACACAGGAGCTTGGAATGTGGCACTGCATCCCATCCTTGCAGTCAGGGTCAAAGCCAAAAAGCTCCAGAAACATGGGAGCATCCGGTGTTGGGTATTCACTGCATCCAGGTTGGAAGTTTGGAGGGGCAAATCATGTCAGGGACTGTGTGGTCCCCATAAATACAGTGCCAGGGATCCAGGGATCTCCCAGAGCTCCTGAAAACTCATCCTGGGACACACATGGGGATCAGAACAGCGGGGTCATCTGGCGAGGGTCATCAGGCAGGATGCTGATGGAATCCTCTGCACGGCCACAGAGCAGGCACAGCATGGTATATTCCTGGGGGAAGGAAAAGGGGGGGCTGGAAAAACGGGGGCTGCCACAGCCCTGCTCCCCCACAGGGAAACTCGAGCCAGATCTGGTACCCGATCCCCGATTGCAATCAGAGCCAGGGGATCTCGTTTCCAGCCCCACTGGCTCCCCTGAGCCCTTTTTCCAGCCCTTTGCTGCATAGGAGATGTGCCAGGAATGAGGAATGGGGGTCACAGCCCCCTCCCATCACCCACATTCCCATGCCAGGTGAGCTGGGCTTCCTCCACAAGGCACAGACTGGTGCTGGGGGGTCTCCAGGTAGCCCTGAACACAGGGATGGGGCTCTGAATCCTTCAAGGCTCTGTCCCAGGGAAGGTGGGAATCAGCCCATGGAAGGATGGGTCTGGAATTCCAGAGACAGAGTTGGGAAGGGCTTTTGGGGGACAAGAGACAAACCTGGTAGTCATCCACCACGCTGAAGGTGTACTCATGGCGTGCAATCAGGTGGTGGCAGTTCTTGCACAGGTCTGTGGGGCAGGGGACAGTGGGGTGAGAGGACAAGGACACTGTCCCTGGGGTATCCCCCCAGTCCCAATCTCTTGGGACAAGCCCCAATCCTCCATGCTTGCCCTTGTTCCCAGGGCATAGACGTCCCAGTCCTTAAAACATCAAGCCCCCAAAATTCCCCCCACAGCAACTCACCCCCTGTTAATGCCCATCAGTAGCTCCCTGATACTCCCTCTAAAACCTGAGACCTCCTCCCTGGGCATCCACCATTTCCACCCTCAGGGATCCCCCAAATATCGGGGCCCCAAATTTTCCCTACTCAAACTAATCCTCCCTTAGGCCTCCCCCTCCTTTGACCTCTGAGCCCCCCCACCCCATCACGCCCCAGCCCTCGAGAGCCCCCACGCCCCAGGAGACCCTTCCCAGCCCTCAAGACCCCCCCAGAATCCAAATGCTATCCCCAGGCCTCAACCCTCAAAACCTCCACCTGTGCCCTCCAGCCTTCGAGACCCCCAGATCCCAAGGGTCCCCTCCAACCCTCTCTAAACCTCAAGATCACCCAAGCTCCAGACTCCAAAGCTCCCCCAGACCCTTCAGCATCCCTCAAGACCTTCAAGACCGAAGGTCTCCCCCAATACTCAACACCCCCAGACCCCCGACCCCTCATAGCCCTCAAGACCCCCAACCTTCAGTGAACCCTAAGCCCCAGGAATGGCTCAGGGATCCCCCAAATATCGCCCTCAAGAGTCCCAAACCCCAAAGGTCCCCTCAGGGCCCCCAACCCTCAAGACCCCAAAAGCTCCCCCACCCCCTCAAGGCCCCCCCGGCCCCCACCCCCCCCCCGGTGCCCCCCACCGCACGGTCATAGGTGACGATCTCCTCCCCGTCCTGCAGGCCCTCGGCCCGGTTGCTGACCAGCACGAAGTCCCGGCGGCCGCACTGCGCGCACCCCACGAAGTTCAGGAGGAAAGATCCGCCCTCCAGGCAGGTGGTGCCCTAGGGCGGGAGCACAGGCTAGGACCGGGACCGGGACCGGGACCGGGACCGGGACCGGGACCGGGACCGGGACCGGTGCCGGTGCCGGTGCCGGTGCCGGTGTCAGTGTCAGTGCCCCCCTTGCCCGCCCTCACCCGCTCGGGGTACTCGGTACCCACACAGCCGCCGCACATCTCGCACCGCCCTCCCCCGCAAATGTCGCGAGACCTGAGGCGAGGGGCGGGGCTCAGCGACGGGGCTGGGGACCGAGGCTCTGGGTGTGGGCGTGGCCTGAAGCGCAATGGGCGTGGCTTAGAGAAGTGGGCGTGGCCTAAGGAGCCGTGGGGCTGCTTGGGGCAACGGGGAATAACTGGGGGGGATCTGGGATAGTCGGGCACCCAGGGCTAGTGGGGACACCTGGAGCTACCTGAGTGCATCCAAGGCTGGTGGGGGATACCTAGAGAGACCTGGGGAGCACCAGGGGCTAGCGAAGGCCACCTAGGGCTAGCTGGGAGCTGCCTGGGATTAGCTGGGAGCTATCCAGGGCTAGTGGGAGACCCCGGGAAGTACCTGGGGGGGCATCCAGGGCTAGTGGGAGACACCCAGGACGAGCTGGGGGACATTCAGGGCCAACTATGGGGTGTTGGAAATTGTCTGGGGGACACTCTGCATTAGTGGGAAACACCCAGGTCCAGGTGCGGGGTGCCTGTGACTAGCTGGAGGGCATCCGGGGATAGTGGGGGACACCCAGGGCTGATTGTAGGGCGGCTTGGGCTAGCTGGGGGTCATCCAAGGCTAGCTGGGGACTGCCTGCGTTAGATGGAGAGCACCACCGACTAGTTGGGGGACATCCAGGGCGGCTGGGGGTCACCCAGGACAAATTAGGGGATGCCTGGGAGGAGCTGGAGGACACAGAGATCTAATGAGGGGGTGCCTGGGACGAGTTGGGCTACTCACACGGCTGGTGGAGGACACCTAGGGCTAGCTGAGGGGTGCCTGTGATTAGCTGGGGGGCATCCAGGGCCAGCGGGGGACACGTGGGCTGGCCGGAGGGGATGGCCGGGGACCCCCACCGGTGTCGGCGGAGCGCTGCGCCTCTCCGCAGCCCGCAGGTGCCGGTGCCGCCGGTGCTGCTGCCAATGATGCTGCCGCCAACGGTGCTGCCGCTGCCGGTGCTGCCGGTGTCGGTGCTGCTGGTGCTGCTGCCGGTGCCGGTGGCGCTGGCGGCCGGGGGGCGCCGCTGTGCTGCATTGCGGGGCGGGCGGCCCGTCCCCGTCCCCGTCCCTGCGCCCATCCCCGTCCCCGCCCGCCCGGTCGGCTCGGCCCGGCCCTCCCGGGGGGAGCGGGGCTATCGGGGCCGGGCAGCGCCGCCGGCTCCGGGTAGGAATGTCCCTGCGCGCCCAGATAATGTTATTTATATCGCGGTGCAGGGCGGCTCCGCTCCCCCCGCCCCGCTCCCGCACCGGCCCCACCGCCGCCGCCGCCGCCGCCGCTCGCCCGCCCGCCGCCCCGCGCAGGTGAGACCCCGCGGCACCGGGATGCGCCGCTCCGGGGAGCACGGGAGGGACTGGGGGACAGCGGGAGGCGCCGGTCCCCGGGGACACGCGGGGGGGGGCACCGGCAGGCGCTGCCCGCCCCGGGGATACCGGGTGGGGGGTGCGGCACCGAGCACGGGGCGCGGTACCGGGGGGCGACGGTGGGCACGGAGGAAAGTTTGGTGGCGAGGGTGAAGAGACCTCCGCGGAGCCTGAGCCCCCTTTTCCCCCGCGGCGGGGGGTCTGCTGTCACCCCGCGTCCCTCGGGGCTGCTCTCGGGAAGGACGGGGCGGGCGAGTGGCGGTGACTTTCTAGGGACACCCTGTGGACAGCCCGGGGACAGTGTGGGGACACCCTGGGGACACTTTTCCTGGGGTGTCAACTCCTGGAGGGCTCCCCACACTAGTCCTTGGTGCTCCCAGCACTGTTGGGACACGGTGGAAAAGCCGAGTCCTGAGGGTCTTGGTGGGACACATCACCCAACCCACTTCGTTTCCCAGCTTTTAGCAACTGGGCAAACTGGAGGGTTACTGGGAAGGGTTTTTGGGGTGCCATGCCCTTGTCCCCCTTGTCCCGGTGCCAGGAGGATGTTCACGGGTGGGCGTTGGGCTGGGGGAATTCTTACCCTCACCCCAATAACCCAGGGGTCTCCCAGGCCTGATTTCCCAGCTTTTCCCTTTATAAATCTCCAGCTCCCAAACCAGGGGATTGGGGTGCCCTGGAAGACAGTGGCAAGCACAGGAGACTCAGTAAACCCTGCTGGGTGCCAGCATGGCCCCCCACAGAATATTTCATAGCTATCATGTGGTTTTGGGGCACTGTCTGGTGGTTTTGGGGTGCAGGGGGGGGCAGCTTCTAAGAAGGGAGCGGGGCTCAACTAGCGCCGTGCGCAGGGGAGGCCTATTTATAGCCAAAAATGTCTGTGGAGTGTCAGCACGTGTGCGTGTCACCGGCTTGGGTGACATGGGACAGTCCTGGCACGGCCGGCATGTGGCCCTGGGGAAGCCCAAATTCTCCTGGCGGGTGGGAGTGTGGCTGGGGAGCCCTGGCCGGGGCAGGGCAGCGCTGCCGGAGGAGCTGTGCCGTGCCTTTCCATGCCCAGGTGCCCCGTGCTGTGCCGCGCGGCCGTGCCGAGAGGGACCATCTGCTCCCGGGCCTGGCCCCGCGCCTGGCACGCAGGGGGCTGCTGGGGGGCTGCCCCCCGGCCCCTGCCCCTTCCCAACCGGAGCATGGCTGCTTGTGGACATGGGGGAGATGCCAAATCCAAGTGTTTTGGTGAAGTGGAGCAATGGGGACACGCCAGGCTCTGGGTGGCAGTGATGGGACAGAATTTCGGGGTGTTTTGGGCGATTCTGATGAGTTTCTGTGCACTGGAAATGGGCTTGCTGGCAGCATGCTGTGGCTGTGAGGGATGAGCCAGGGAATGGGTTTGAGGGTGCCATAAGTGCCAGGTGCCAACTGCTGCCCCAGCCGCCCTTGGGGTGTGGGGGGACATTCCCTATGCCCGGCGGGGGGACCGTGGTGGTGGCACAGTGCCAGCCCCTCACCGGGAAGTGCTGATTCACCGAGGCGAGCCGCTGGCCGAGGAAGGCGACGCTGCCCGGGCCATGGCCGCAGGATGCTGGCGGCGAGGCCGGCATGCTGGCATTCCCAGCTTTCCGCACGCTGAGCGGCAGGAATGACAATTCCCGGGTGGCGGGTGCTGGTGGCGGCGTGGCTGTGGCAGGGAGGGATGCTCGGAAGGCGCCGGTGTGGCGGAGGGAGATTTAAAGGGTGGGTGAGCGCCCGCGCTCAGAATGCTCCCATGGGCCTGCTGTGGCTCCCTTCGGCGTCATCTCCTCCTCCTCCTCCTCCTCTTCCTCCTCCTCCTCCTCTTTCTCCTCCTTGGATGCTCGCAGCCATGGCCCTGCTGCTGTGTTGTCGGGGTCACAGTCAGAACTGGTCTCTCCTGCAGACACAACTTAGCACACCCAAACTGCTGGCAGTCCCTGAAGTTTTGGGGACAAAATCCCCAGATTTGGTCTCCCAGAAGGCTTTCCTGCCAGGGCGAGCTGGGTGCTCTGGCAGAGGCACGGAGTCATGGCATGAGGGGCTGCCCTCCTGCCGGCTCTAGTACACATCTGCATGGCCCTGCACCCACGCGAGTGCCTGTCGTGTGTGTCCCATGCACACTCTGGTGTGTTCCTGCATGTCCTTGCTCTGGCATACAAACTCTGGCACAATTCTACTTGTCCTTGTTCACCTGTGCACGCTCTGGCATGTCCCTGTGTGTCCTTGCTCACAGGCGCACTCTGTCACACTTCTGTATGTCCTCGTTCACACGTGGATGCTGTGACAAGTCCCTGCGTGTCCTGGCTCACAGGTACACACCCTGCCACCCTTCTCCATGCCCTCCCTCGCACTTGCACACTCTGGTGTGCTCCCGAGTGTCTTTGCTGTGCTGCCCACACTCCTGCACGCTCCTCCATGTCCTTGCACGCTCCCAGTGCCTTCAGGTCCAAGCCAAGGCCCTGCCTGTGCTGCCCCGATTAGGGTGCAGAGTTGGGGTGTGGCACAGCCTGGGCCACCCTGATAACCCTGCCAGGGGGGACATGGGGGATGCCCGGGGCATCCGAGGGGGAGCTGGGGGCCCATGAGTTGTCACAGGTCACGGGGACAGCAGGGATTTGGGGCACATGGATTCCCCCTGGCACCCACTACTGAGGGCTCTCTGCAGCTCTGGATTGCAGGAGAGGTCCTGGACATGCTGCTGGCTGTAGGGAGCCCCAGCCCATCTCCTTGCACCCCTCAGGGGCCTCAGCAGCCACCGACAGCTGCTCAGAGGCATTTTTAGATACCAGCCATGTCCCATGTCCTATCTATGTCTCAAATGTCCCCGGGGGTGGGTGCCCCCCCCTGCCGGCAGCTGTCACCCACTTTCTGCCACCAGTGCGGGCGAAGCCCCTGTGCAGTGCAGGGGTCGGGGTGGGAGTGAACAGCAGCCCCTTCCCTGGGGGCATCCAAGGATTGGGGGGACACCTCTGGGGACCTAGGCTGGGGTTTCAGCTGGGCAGACGGACCTGGGTGGGGACTCAGCACCGTAAATAGCCATTAGCAGAGCTCGGCAGGGCTCAGCACGGTGGTCCTGGAGAGGGCAGCTGCCAGGTGCCCCCCCAACACCTGGGTGGGGCGAGGCTAAATCCCTCTGAGCAGCTTATCCCAAGGCTCTGAGCTGCAAATCCCCACGTGCCGCAGGGCCGGTGAGCCACCGCGGCCACACTGATGCTCACAGTCCCGCTGTCCCCCAGGGGCCTCTCACCGGTAGCCGACGGCCACCGGGCCGGGGCACACTGGGACCATGACCTCGGCCAATGACTACGAGCAGCTGGAGCTGCAGCAGCAGTACAGCCGCATCAATGTCCGCTGGGACGCGTCCGACGATGAGCTGGACAATGACAACAGCTCCGCACGGCTCTTCGAGCGCTCCCGCATCAAGGCCCTGGCAGGTGGGTGGCAGGTCCCCTCGGTCCCACCTGGGTTGTCCCCACTGTCGGTGACCCCATGCCCGCTGTCCCTCCAGATGAACGGGAGGCCGTGCAGAAGAAAACCTTCACCAAGTGGGTGAACTCGCACCTGGCTCGTGTCACCTGCCGCATCTCAGACCTCTACATGGACCTCCGGGATGGACGGGTGCTCATCAAGCTGCTGGAAGTGCTGTCAGGAGAGCTTC